TCCAGTTTTCTAAGTGCTCACACAATCACTCTCACCCTCAGTCCTGATAGTTAACTCACCCTCCTACCCCTCCTCCCCTAAGAAAACCTATAAGGCAGGCTCTGTCAGGTTACTGTGTCTTTGCATGGTTGCCCTGCTAGCAGTTAAGAGGAATGTGTGGGCCTGGGTTGGCCCTGGTTCTGCCCATGTTCAATCTTGGGTGCTCACTTAACTATTTCAAATCTGTCTCTTCATCTGTAAAACGGAAATGAGAACAGTGTCTACTCTAATTCGCAGAGGTGCTGTGAGGATTAAATGAGATCATACATGTAAGATTTTGCAACAGGGCCTGGAATATAAAAAGTCATCCATAAATCTAACCAAGAATCTTGTTAGTATTTAAAAAAGAAGGGTGGAATGTAACCCCCTATTGTGTAAAAGAACATCAGCAGAAAAAAACCGCATTTGAAATTCCAGAAGATGACTCATAAGAAAGCTGTGCTCCCCTCAGAAAAAGCTGATGCTTCTGAGTGACCATCATTTGTGTCTCTGTGAGAAACAGCTCAAACCGGACTGGTTTCCTAGGAAGGTCAAGCCTTTTCCTCCGGACAACCAGCTCAGCACATGGCACAGGCCAGGCCGTCAGCAAGTGTTTGCTCAATGGAAGGACGGATATTGGATTAATATGTTTACGGTTTTCAGGTGCACATCCAGAGCTCCAGTGTTTAAACATCTCATGGACTTCATAAATAATCCTTTAGAGGTTGTTGGAAATACGCTCTGATCTTTCTTTTCTTGCTTTATTTCTCCAAGATAAAATACTGCAAACCAAACACTTACTGCCAAAGGCACTATGTCTGTAGAACATCTCCTTTTACATAAAAGCTTTCGTTTTCCTCTAATCTCCTCTCATTCCTGACCTCTTTCAGTCGGCCAAAATGACCAGAGGAAACACATGACATGATCTAATTCTACAAAATTAGAATTTAGCAATCTGGCTACTGAATATCCCTAGAGATGAGAATACCATATCCACGCTCAACTCATTCACTGATCATTTATACCTTAACACTAAAAAAACAAAGAGCTGCATTCTTAAACATCATTGTTCAGACACATGTTCTGCTTCTAACACTTCTTAGATCAAATCCAACTGTTATAATCTTCAGAGAGGGCAGCAAAAAACGCTAGTCAAAACAAAGTCTTTTGCTTATATGTCCATAAAATTGATTGTTCTTGCTAAAAGAGAAACTTTCCCTGTTATCTAAGCAAAGAAAGCATGTTTTGATACATGCAGTTTCTCAGGAAATTAATCCAAAGAGAATTTTCTCATTTTGTTTTCCTAAACACAGCTTTCTTAGTAAGAACGAAAATAAGTGCCAGTGAAATGAACCTTTCCAAGAATATCCATGATACAGCAGGCTATCCCACAAGTCTGCTAATGAAATGGAAAACAGGCTGGGCCTGTTACGGATTAATAGCCTGCCAGAAAGGAGCTCTGAGTGTTGTAAATAGATGGCACAGCCAGGGATTCTACGAAAACTCAGTTCAAGGCTGAGGAGAAGAGAAGACAGCACTGGGGCAGAAGGCGGGACCTCTCACAAATTCTGTGAATTAAATCGCTCTGTCCAGACAGAGGCTCATGTCAACCAACAACTCTGCCCAAGGCATGGAATCTGCAGATTATGGCTTATGTGTGACAAGAAAATGAATACAGCTTCTTCGTCAATGCTTGTCTTTTAAGCTATGAGGTGTATTTCTGCCCTTCCTTCTAAGAAAATAAGCAATTCTCTATTACAGTTCCAATTATACTAGAAGAGCTTCTATACCACAGTTCTCCATTAACTCTTCTGTGCATCCTTCTCTTAATAAGTACAACACTGCAATCACAAAGAAAAGTTCCAAAGACGGCCACTGAAACTCGCTGAAATGGTGTGGCCCAGCTTTGGGGCACTCAGAGGTCCACTCGCACCCTTGGGGAAAGGTGGTCCTGATGCACGGCCCGGCCAAGAGTAAGAGGAGCAACCTTAAGGATTTCTCTCCTCAGCCCTGAAGCAGATGAACTGCTATAAGGTGTGTCACTCTTCCAGAGGACAAAAAACAAAAACAAAAACCCTCTTGATGTCTCTAGCTATACCCCAACAACGTGCTGGCAATATTCACTTATTTTAAAAATTTCTGTGATTTTTTTTTCTTTCCTTCATAATTTCAGCAAATTGCTTTGACCGTGATAAATGTTTTGGGATTATACAGAAGAAAAAAACACATGTCAAAGGTCCGGTGTTAGTTATCGGTTTTGTGTCTTATATTTTAACTAAGTTATAGACAGCTTTTACAACTCCATCAGTCCACGAGTTCTGTGAAGGCTGGCCTGTGACTGCCCCATGGGGTGCAGGTGTGAAAGGCAGCTGGACGGTAGTGGTCAAGGGCACAGGCCTCCAAGTGCACTGGGCTTCATCGTCACCAGCTGTGAAGTGAGATCCGTTACTCAACCTCTCCAATCTCACGGCAGTTTCATCAAAACTAGCAGGAAAAGCCCCAGCTCTTATGTGATAAGGTTGTGTTGAAGGTTATCCAATGCACGTAAAGCAATTAGAGCAGTGTCTCATACAGAGTAAACAAACGCTCAATAAATCTTAGTTGCTGTTTCTGAAAAAATTACTCCTCAGAAATACTCACTGTATGAATATCTGGATGTATAACAGCTGTGGTTTGAATGTCCCTGCCAAAACTCACGTTGACATTCATTGTCCTTATGATAGTATTGAGGTGAGAATTAAGAGGTGATTAGGCTGCACCCTCATGGATGCCTCAATGTTGTCTCAAGAGTGGGTTCATTATCGCTGCAGCGGGCAGTTCCAACAGCGAGTTGGGCCCTCTCTCTCACATGCTCTCTTGCCTTTCTGCCATGGGATGATGTGGCAAGAAGGCCCTTACCAGATGCCAGCTGCTCAGTTTTGGACTTCCCAGCCTCCAGAATTGGGAGAAATAAATTTTTTTTCTATAGAAATTATCCAAGCCTGGCCTAGTGGCTCCTGCTAGTATCCCAGTGACTAGGACTGCTTGAAGCCAAGCCTTCACAATCAGCCTGGGCAACATAGCAAGATCCTGTCTCTAAAAAATAAAATAAAATAAAAATTAGCTGGGTGTATGAGCCTACGGTTCCAGGAGACTGAGCCAGGAGGTTCCCTTGGGCCAAGGAGTTTAAGGCTACAGGGAGCTATGATAGCACTGCGCACTTCAGCCTGTGTGACACAGTAAGACCCCACCTCATTCATTCATTCACTCACAAATAAATAAATACAGTCTTTTTGATGTTCTGCTATAGCAACGCAAAATGAACTGAGACAATGGTGCAAATGTAGCATGCTCACAAATTATTTCTGGCAATTAAACTTACATAATGCCTGAAAAACAATCCAGCTGCCTTTCCTAAGCAATGTCTAATAACTTCTAAGCTGTAGCTTTTTTTTTTTTTTAATGTCAGAGTCTTGGGTGGTGCCTGTGGCTCAGTGAGTAGGGTACCAGCCCCATATAGCAAGGGTGGCCAGTTCAAACCCGGTCCCTGGCCAAACTGCAACAAAAAACAGCCAGGCATTGTGGCAGGTACCTGCAGTCCCAGTTACTTGGGAGGGTGAGGCAAGAGAATTACCTAAGCCCAAGAGCTGGAGGTTGCTCTGAGCTATGATGCCATAGCACTCTACTAAGGGGGACAAAGTAAGACTCTGTCTCTTAAAAAAAATAAAAATAAAAAGACAGTCTCACTCTGGCGCTCTGACTAATGCATAGCATCATAGTTCAGAGCAACCTCAAGTTCTTGGGCGGAAGTGATCCTTTTGCTCTGATTTTCCTACTTTATTAGTAGAGATGGGGTCTTGCTATCGCTCAGGCTGGTCTGGAACTCCTGAACTTAGGCACTCCACCTACCTTGGCCTCCCAGAGTGTGAGGATTATAGGTGTGAGCCACCATGCCCAGCCAAAGATGCATTTTTAACCAAGTTTAAATTAATCATGTAACTTTTGGTTCACAGTCATACAAGCAATGAAAAGGTGTAAATGCATTTTTGCAAAGGGGATCATCCTATCTCTGATCAGACTTTTTACTCTGGAACATACTGAACCTCATAAAAACTAGGGAGAAGTGTTGCAAGAGGAAGAGAAACAGGATTTGGGGTTGCTGAGATGAAAGAAAGAGGAAACTGTACCAGATGAAAATAAGCACACCAATTCTGCAAATGCTATTAACTTGGAGGAACAGGCAGAACAATCTTCAAAATGTTTAAAGACCTGTACAAATTAGATGAACCAGGAGTCACTGTTCTTACTAAGCAGTCCACTTGATACACAGGTGAAGACTATGTTGAAAAATTATTATTTTAAAATACACTAAGTATGTGATGCTTTGGTTCCCTGTAAATCCCAATTAAATCACAGAAATTTCTTACTAATTCAATAATACTTTAAAATGTCTACAAAGACTCCCAAATCACCACATTTCAAATAAAATTAGTTTGTTTGAAATTACCTAGGAATAAGAGAAAAATATTTAAAAACACGTAAAATGCTTTTGTAACCAACACATTCTCACATTAAACTATTTACATTTTGGTTTTTGTGATCTCTACTGCTCAGCCACAACACTCTGATCGCTCGTTATTCAAATTACTGAGTTACCCAATCATGTAATATTCTATCAAATGTTTTCAACGGGGCCTTGCCTCTTCTCCTTCTCAATGGTCAACCCAAAATAAGTAAAACTAGTCAGGTTGCCAAGAAAAACCAAACAGCTAGAGTAAATCTATTTTAAATCATGAATGCATTTTCTCCCAGGAAGATTTAAGTATAGATATTCCCTTCCTTTTTGCATGATCACCATGGTAACCACACTTCTTATGGATCTGAATTTAAAATCAGTTCACATCAGTTTAGTATACGTGGAAATTGTTATTTTATATATACAGGGCAACACCCTGTATTTGACCCTGTAAGAAATCCTCATGTGAGTGGCAGCCACCACATACCTGTGAGGGCCCAGATGTCTTGCCCTCTTAAAATGGCCAATCCCTTTACACCCGGGGGTGGAGCATCCACCGTGTTCTGAAGCTTCCATCAATTCCAAGGGGCCTATGAGAAAGCCAAAAAAGAAGAACGAGGGACAAAATGTTAAGCAAAAAGCCACTGAGAGTCCAGCACAGATGCCTGACTTCCAAAATGCCCCTGAATTCCTATTTCTGAACCAACATATATAAAAAGAAAAAGGCTTTTCCCTATGACTTTGTTCATAACTATTTACTGTTCTCTAATAGTGAAATAGTAAACTTCGGTTATTCGAGATACCTAAATATGAATTAATAAGAGGAAAACAATTTTTATCAAGTAAATAACATAATTAACATATGAATATTCACATACTGTTATGAAAACCTAAAATACTACAGCAGAATCCCGAATAAAGTTCCAGATCCCTTATCCACTCTTCATCTGCTCTTCTGTCTACATTTCTGACCTCCCCTCATCCTGACCACAAAAGTGAACACATACCCTCCTGGATGTCCTGCTAAGCATTCAGATACATTTGGTTTTGTTCTCTTTTGCCACATAATAGGTGCAACATAGATCTGTACTATTCTGAAATATTCTTTGAATATTCTAAACATATTCTTTTTAACTTCTTGTCTTATAAATGTTTCCTTTGCAATGTTAATATTCATTATGACTCTTATATAATAACTATAGCATTGTGTAACCTAATTTATTTAGCCAGTATTTGTTTCTAAGTTCTGTTGCTTACAAATGCTGCAGTGAATACCATGTATGTGTATTTTTTCTGCTGTTAGTCTGCAGGTAGCATCTAGCAATGAAGCCAGTAGATGGGGGTGGGGTGGGGTGCACTCAATTCTTTAAAAATCTGACAACTTATTATATTTCTTATAGTTTTTTTCTACACTGTATGTATTTTCCTCCGAAACTGAAATCATGGTGCATTAAGTTTCCAATGTACCTTTTTTACTGAATTTAACTGAAACTTTTACTGAAATACGTAGCTTTGCATGCAGCTATAAGTAAGTAATGACCCAGAGGGAGATCACTTCTACACTTTGCCCGGTTTCACCCAATGGTAACATTTCACAAAGCAACAGAATGAAATCCCTACTATGCTGACACTGAAGTCTCAAAAGCCGTCCTCCAAAAATTCAGTTCTAATTTTAAAAGGCAATGTTTACTTCTAAATAAGTCTATACACATTTTATTTTTCAGGGATTGTATTTCTTTCTTTTAAACTTTTGTGACTACAGTAATTAAAAAAATGTAGGACCCCTCAAGGCAAATCTAAAGCGCTGTTAGAAAAATTCTAAGTCAATGATTTTTGTAGAAATGACTTAGGATACAAAATACCAATTGAGCATTTTGAAAATAATGTTGAATGAACAGGTGAATAACTGGCAATGCCCTGAGAGGTGAAGTGTTCTTGATTAAGTCAAACCACAGAAAACAGACATTTGAATCAGAGCTGCATCTAAGATGTGATTTATTTCTGATTTCCTTAGTAAATTAAATTATTCAAACTTAAAAAAAATGTAGTAAAAGGAAAAAGATTCCACTCAGAAGAAACATACGGTAAAGAAGGAGAAAAAAGAGGAAAGGATGAAAAAAATATTAAGCATGCTATGTAAGAAAATGGAAACATTTATTCAAGTTGTCCTTGTGTCTCTTACTCAAAGGAGGCTGAAGAGGATGTCCGGTTTTTGAACACCAGCCCACAGGGTGGATATCAGGAGAATCTGCATCTATCCAGTAATCATAGCAGCTACTCCAGCCATCAAAGTGAACCTGGGTAACACAAGGAAATTAACAGCATGAAGATTCCTATAGTGAAAGCTCTGCCCACAGTGTGACCACTTATATTCTCTCTGGCAGGAGTGAAGAATTTGTAGCCTCAGCTCGGCGCCTGTGGCTCAAGTGGCTAAAGCGCCAGCCACATACACCTAAGGTGGCGGGTTCGAATCCATCCCAGGCCGCCAAACAACAATGACAGCTGCAACCAAAAAATAGCCAGGCGTTCTGGCGGGCGCCTGTGGTCCCAGCTACTTGGGAAGCAGAGGCAGGAGACTCACTTGAGCCCAGGAGCTGGAGGTTGCTGTGAGCTGTGATGCTATGGTACTCTACCCAGGGGGATAGCTTGAGGCTCTGTCTCAAAAAAAAAAAAAGTATTTGTGGCCTCAAGGCCACAGGACCCTCCAGATCTCTGAATATATCCTTTTGACCAAACCCAAATTTCACAGAATTGTTCTGTGAAGTTTGGATTCCATGGAAAGGCCAACTCAAAAATCTGGAAGGCCACATGTAGCTCGGAAGCTGAGGGTCCCTACCTTAATATTTCTCAACAATTTCAGCAACTTAAGGACATGGACTATGTAATAACATCTTCACACCATCAACATCAAATACCCAGTAAATATTACTGCAGTAATTAAAAAATCTGGAAAAGGAGGGAAGATGGATGTGAGGGGAGAGTAAAGAGGCAGGAGAGAAGACGACCTTTTACAAGTAAATAACAAATTCTCAGAATTACAGTGGAAAAGTTTAAAAGAAAAAAAAAAAACTCAATGCCCTACTAGAAATACATTTAATTTACAAAATATCCCTCCATCAAATGCATTTCAAAGTATCACTGGCTTTATTATCTCTCGAAGACATGCTTTATTATAGTATCTCTCGAAGACATGCTTTATTATAAAGCGGTCAGCACTCCATCTTTGTTGGTGACCATGTGAAAGGAAGGTTGGTCTTTCCATGAAGGCAACTAAGTATCAGCTGTGTATCTTTCAGCTGTTACTTCCCACCCCCCCAACCTGAGCTGTTACTTAAAAAAAAAAAAAATCTTTTAAGATGAAAGGATTTACTGAAATGCTTCAGATATTTTACTTTTAAATCAAATTTGCCAGTTAGGTTTCTTTTATAAAGTCTAAGAATCTCTCACACCTTACAAGGCAACAGATGCTAGATGGATAAAAAATGGAAACATTATAAACTGAACAATACATATTCTACAAGAATGCATGAATGAACTTACTTAATCACAAAGTAGCATAGCCTTTGTAAGTTAAGACACCAAACTCAAAAGCCAGACCAGAAAAGACCCATCAATTTGATTACATAAACATTTAAAACTTCCGAGTGGCAAATACTATCATAAACAAGATGGAAGACCCACAGAAAACCTGAAAAACACATCTGCTAACACACATACTTTCTTCCTCAGTTTATAAAAATATCAAACATCAATCTGAAGAGATGAAAACACCAGTAGGAACAAAGAAAATAGATACAAATGATTCATTATTAAGAAAATAAATATATTCTGGGAGGCCGAGGTGGGTGGATTGTCTGAGCTCCCTAGTTCAAGACCAGCCTGAGCAAGAGCAAGACCCCGGCTTTCAAAATAGCTGGGTATTGTGGTGGGTACCTGTAATTCCAGCTACTTGGGAGGTGGAGGCAAGAGAATCACTTGAGCCCAAGCGTTTAAGAGGTTGCTGTGAACTGTAATGACACCACAGCCCTCTACCAAGGGAGACAAAGTGAAACTCTGTCTCAAAAAAGAAAAAAGAAGTATAAATGACTAGTAACACATGATAGGACAATTTTATTTATAACTAAAAAACTATGAATTAAAATCACAAGACACAATTCTTCTCCTATCAGCCTGTAAAAAATATTAACATTTTGGCGATTCCTGTAACTGCTGAATATGAGACTGAATGGGCTTTCTCATAGACTGTTGACAGAAGTGTTAATTGGTGAGATACTTCTGGAAAGCTATTTGGCAAACATTCACCATGTAAAATATATTTATTTTTGACTTCATAATCTCAATAACTCGTTATTTATAGTAGAAAACAACTAGAAGTAACCGGAGTGCTCACCATCAGGAGACAAGTTAAATAAATTATGATATATTCATAGGATGGAATAGTGTGTAGTTATTAAAAGTACAAAAATACGGGCTCAAAATAATGTCCTTTGCAATGAATCTACTTCTTCAAGCTTAGAAATCAATTAATCCTAGAATCAAACCCCCAAAGAAGATATGAAGAGATGTGTTTCAGCAAAATAAGAGAATGTATTAAAAAAGAAATAAAGTATGTGATCCAGGAAAATGAAGTATAACCTAGTTTGTCAGCAAAGGGAAGTCTTCGGATGAAAGCTCTGTACCAGGCTTTGAGTATATCCACTCAGACTGGAAGAGGTGTCTGCTGAGCGTGAGAAAAAGAGTTCAAGAAAAAAGAAGATAAAGACAGAATGTTGCTCTGTTTCTTTCTGGAACTACTGATATATCCATTCTTTTAAAAAACAGAAGATAATCTGCATAATGTTAATCCTGGATTTTTTTCACTCACTGATAGTAAACAGTCTTCCAAATTATTTAGTGTTAACATACACCATGTAAATATATAATGAATTGTTTTACCCATTAGCTACTGTGGTTGTTCCCAATGTTAAATATTATAAATATTACTGGGCAGTGCCTGTGGCTCAAAGGAGGAGAGCGCTGGCCCCATATGCCCGAGGTGATGGGTTTAAACCCAGCCCTGGTCAAAAACTGTAAAAAAATATGTATGTATTATTGCTCTATTTTTCTTGGAGTTTTTATCTCTCCATACTCTCTTTGGTTACTTCCTTAATATAAATTCCTAGGACTAAAATTTTTGAGTGTAAGAATAAACAACATTTTGATAAACGAGCTCTCACCAAAATGCTTTTCCAAAAGGGTGGAACCCTTTACATTCCCACCAGCCATGCGTGACGATAAACTTTTCATGAACCCAAACCAAAATAGATTACTTTTACTTTTATCCCCCAATTCTAAACAATTTGATTTATAAAAATAACATTGTGCTTAATTCTATTTTTGATTATTAGGCTGAGTTACTTTTGAAATACATCTAGTTCTAAAATATTCTGCTTTATGAATTGTATTACTACCAAGTACAGTGAAGGAGAAAATATATCTGAAAAAAGGTTAACAGAGATCCTGCAGTATTTGTGACATTCTGTAGAATATTACATGATTATATAATTTTTAAAATGGAAAAATAAACGTTACAAATTTCTGTACAGTGTCGCCTTGTGCAGTTTTTCATGTTATCTTATAATTTATTACTTCATTAAAGATACTGAGGATATAATTTTTATTTTATTTTATTTTATTGTGAGACCGAGCCTCAAGCTGTCCCCCTGGGTAGAGTGCTGTGACATCACAGCTCACAATAACTTCCAACTCTTGGGCTCAAGCGAGTCTCCTGCCTCAGCCTCCCAAGTAGCTGGGACCTGCCACAACGCCCGGCTATTTTTGGTTGCAGCTGTCATTGTTGTTTGGCGGGCCTGGGCTGGATTCGAACCCGCCACCTTACGTGTATGTGGCTGGTGCCTTATAGCCACTTGAGCCACAGGTGCCGAGCCTGTAATTTTTATTTAAAAAAAAAAAAGACCATAAATGTAGACTCCTATAGCTTAAAACAAGATTTACTTCTGCCACTGTCAGTGTGTGATAAAGTAATTCATTTATTCTTTCTAAGCTTCTGCCTCCCATATCGCAATGACCATAAATGTCAAATAATGTGAGAACATTATTGCCCTATAAGATATCACACATGTAATGTCCTGTTATTATTATAACTATTATTATTATTCATAGAGATTCAAAGCAATCCTGTAAAGTAAGTAGAATGGGTATTGTTCTAGTTTGACAGTAAAGTTCATGTGACACCAGGGACAGAGAACCGGGCCTTCCAGCTTCTCACCTGAACTACCATACTTTACTTCATCCCACGTGGACACCACAAACCGGACCCATCTTCCTAAACATTGCTTCCTTCATGAGAGGTATTTGGCTTTTATTAATGTAACTCTAATTAAAATTTGATTTTATGTCTATAATTATTTTTACTTGTCCTATATTAAAATACAGGATATTCCGCAACACTACTTCTGACACATCCCATAAAAAAATCCTAACTTTCCTTATTTTTTAAAGAGTATACTATCAGAGAATGAAATATATTTTCCTCTGAATAGAATACTACCTTAAGGTGCTATATCCACTTTCTTTCTCCAAATACATGCTCAAAAATTAAGTCACTCATAATTAAAGACAAAACATTTTATGCAGATTAAAGGAAAAACCTGAACGAAGGCTGACTTACAAAGATACACAGCTACTTTCTGTATTCCTGTGATTCTACTAATATAATCAGGGCCTACTAAAATTTTCATCCCAGACATCTTATCACAAAAGCCACGGCCAAACCACAAGAGAGAACTTACTTTGATCCGGTGATCGTCAGTGTCTGCCACGGTGGCTACTCGAATGAACACGGGGTTTCTCTTGTCTACTATCTCAAGCTTCATTTTTTTCTGGAATCCATGTGGAGGTTTCTGCCATGACATAAAAATATATATAGTGAGATTTAGAAGAAGAGAGGTACATTTGATGTTACAATGAATAAGAAATAGATCAGCTACTGAGAGAACCAGCCTTTCAAACTCTGCAGCTAAACACCGTGGCTCTGGACCTCACCCTGCCTATTAGGAAACACCATCCCAACACACGTGCACAGCAACAGGGATAAGCCTGAGGGCCTGGGCTAGAAGCAAGTAAGAAAGGTTAAAGCAACGACCTTAAGATGGAGTTTAAAATCTTATAGTTATTGAATTAGCCACGGGAATGCCAAGAAAACTTTCCTCAATAGTTGGAGGTGGCAAAAATCAACAAGCATGAAATTTACTTTTGGAAAAGAGAAAGGAAGAACATTGAAGTGGCTGAGATGAGGCACCAAGATTAGAAGTGGTCATGAGGGCAAAAAGTAGATGATGTCTTTTTTAAAAAGCATAAGCAACTGAAACATACAAGACAGAACTCTTCCCACGGGAACATGAATGAGAAAGGCCGACCTACACCTACAACCTCAGGACTCAGCAGACCCCAATAAACTTCTGAAAAAGTTACGGGCAGGGGAAAGCAGGGGACTGACTGGTATGATGCCAGGAAAATTAGTTAAACCTGCTGAGCTGCAGGTCCCACTTCTGTAAAACAGGTATAACAAAAGAGATGCTCTAAAAATTAAGTGTGAAAGTTATGAAGAAGATACAGAGGGATCAATCTACCCTCTACACGCTAGAGAGATCTTGGTCCTCTGATGTGACACTAAATGTATACACTAATCCTGGAATAATTTTATACATGAAAAGTGGGTGTAACCCAGCTCTGCTTTGTATTAGACGAGATTAGACAGAATGGCTGCAGACTCTGCTTGGTATTAGTTAAGTAGATGTTACAGAGGGAAGATAAAAATTCACAAATGTGGCTTAACTCTAATTAGAATTCTTTTTTAAAATCCTAAATTTACTGTCAGATGAAATCCTGCACACTCTTTGATGTAGTTTTCTTCATGTAATATGGTTTTGCTCTTAAAAATTCTGATGTTCTTTTCTTCTGTTTGGTACCATACCTACTAATTATTCTATCATTAAAAATTCTAACAATTCATACAAAAAAGGATCACTTAAAGAAAGTATTATGACAGACTAATCATGCCACATTTTTCAAAATTAAGTAATTGATATATTTTCTTTCCCTTTAAATTTATGGGAAAATACAAAGCAAGCTACTTGATACAAAGAACTAAAATACATTTCACTTCTTATGCTTCTCTTGCATAGAAGAGGTTTACTTTGGATCATAATATGTTACAAGCAAGTAACAGTGACCTTGGGTTAAAAAGATACTGTAATAAAAGGAGACGCTCTTGTACACATATTTTAGTAAGTAAACATGATCTGTAGCAATAAAATAAAAATCAGCATCTCAGTTGGCTATAAAAAGTTCCAAAGAAATTTATCAGATATAATTTTCATTAGAACACATTTTCTTATCCTGTTTTGGTTTTTCAGAGTATCTAGCTAGAAAAACAAGCTTTCTGTAAGATTTCAACAACTTGCCCCACATGATGTTGAAACTTTACAGTCCAAAATGAAAGCATTTTTTAGATGCCAACAACAAAAATCCCAGTAACAATTCTGACTTTCAAAATTGTAAAACTCCCCAAACTTTTATGTGTCCTTCTGTTTTCTTCTTCTTCCTATTTTGAATCAACAGCATCATCCCTCTCTGTTCTTAATCTTCAATGAATAATACCACCAACACAAACCTATCAAGCAGTATAATGTGTATTAACTTACCACTTTGAAAGCTCTTGCAGGAGCAGGTAAAGAATTGGTTTCTTCTAAGTATTTATCCCAAGAAAAATGCTTCACATTTGGATAACCTAAGAAAAAAAGAAAAATGTAAATCCTATGAGGTTAAACAAAAATAATAATGAGAATAATAAACTGCCCAACAAAAAATATGAGACACTGTTATCATTATAATCTAGGGAATTACGTTCATATACAAGCAACTTTAAACTAGTCGCATATTCAGTACTATCTGTAAGAATACAATTGTTTTTTATCTTGAGCATATTTCTATACTATTTTTTAAATGAAAATTTTGCATATATATAGATATGCATAATTTATATCCTCAGGTAAGTATAGTGTTACAAGTAAGACAGACATGTGTACACACACACACACACAAATGTCCCTTAATCCAGCAATTTACTTCTATCAATCTGGGAAAATCCCATATGTGTACAAAGATAATGCACAATCATTTGTAAATCTGAAAATGCAAAAACAAGTTTCAATTATCCTCAATACAGAAATATGCCCTCCAAATATAAACTATATGAAATAGAAAGCATTTATGAAAAAGAATGTGGTAGATTTATATACACTAATATGTGAAATATTCCAGCTATATCTCCATATTGTTAGGTTAAACATACAAAGCATGGAACTTTATTAATAGCAAGTAGAAAAGTAAGTATCCTTTCCTCCCTCTTACCCCATTTGCTTTCCTCCAGAGCCCAAATCCATTAGGCAGGCACAAGCAGAAATTAATAATAGCCCAATATGGTGGGAAATTTGCTACATAAAGGGGACTAAGAAAATAGGTGAATATACTGGAGACAAGGGTAGCCAGATTTCTCATTGACTAAGAAGTATAAATACCAAGAAAAAAACTATAATTGAAACCATTGGTGTTGGATTTATATTGGAGTTAATAGCATAAATTCATGGTTTTTAATGCATCTAAAATATATACAGGAACAAATACAAATTTTTATATATGCATTTCATAATTATGTGCATAGAGGGGCCTGCAAGCATCAGCACCCCACTTGCAATAAGCACACCCAATCTCAGTTTCCACATATCACCCTCTACTAAAAAGAAACAAGGACCCTTGAAGAACTGGCTGACTGCAGGGCTGGGTCAAACAAAGTGCAAGATAAGCTTACTGTGCCAGAAAGTAAGACGTTCTCAAAAGATGATAATAACAAGTCAGAAGAACACGGAAATACACCTACAGGGGCTGCCCTGGCTAAAATCTGAGAAAATCAGAGCATGAAAATAAATAATGCTAGTAATGGGTAACCCATTTGATACAAATAGTAATAATCTATGGGTCCACACTGATATCAGTAAATTAATTTAATAAATAAAGCGGAAGATGAGAAAACTTATCTTTGCAGGAGAACACCAACTAATTTTATACAAGTAACGATGGAATAAGAAAACCGCTTAGTAATTAACAGAAGACAATTAATTCACACTAGAAATATCAACAGATACTGAAACTAGATGACAATGGGATGAGATACGGGATATTTACACAATTGCAATGTTTCTCTCCAGAAAATGCTGATCAGTAACTCCACTGGTGGAAAAACCTGACAAACACCATCTTAATAAATCAACGGCAAAAATGAGGCAGTGAAGAGTCAGATTAACATCATGGGAGGATGCGCAACCTGGGTCTGATGAAGAGGAAACAGCAACCACACTCAAATGAAGAAACACTCTATAAAATGACAGCTCTGTAACCCCAAACATATGAAAGTCATCACAGCCACGGAGAGCCTAACGGAAGGAGGCTGGCTCTACCTGACAGGGGAGAGCAATGGCTGATCCTTTGCTAGAAATGACATCCCTGGGACGACTGACAAACTTAGACTGAGTCTCTGGGTCAAGGATGTAGATGAGTTATACACTATTCTTGCAAGTTTTTGGCAATTCTAAAATTGTTTCAAGAGTAAATATGCCCACATATCTCTGTATATACATTTTATAAGATATTTTTAAGAAACGTATCTATTTCTATATGTCCATTTTATGACATACTTTTAAGAAACGTCTCAAATCATTTAAATCAGAACATCCTACTAAATGAGGTGCATGCTGTGCTGAGTGTGAATCCGTGTAAGCAAAAAAGTTCTGGAAAGAGACAATGACAAACGGTGATGAGAGATAATGTGGTTATCTCTATCTTCACTCCAAATTTAAAATCCAGCATGTAGTAATGTATAATTTGAATAAATGAAAATAAAAATAATTTTAAAAGGCAGAAGAATTTAGTTGCAGAAAAAGAACAATCAAGAGAGGCTACGTGTTGGGAGAGAGTGGAACGTGGTGGGAGCCTGCAGGGCTGGTCAGCAGGGGTGGATTAACCCACGGAGAGGCAGAGGGTGACGGAGGGGACCCGGGGACTAGGATCCCTTCTTGCACACAGGCGATCAGAGATGGAGTCAGTCAGGATGGATTCTGCCTTCAGAGAAAAGGGATGAGAGACAGGATGTCTTTGTTGTTATGGGGCAAAGAGTCACATTAGCTCATATGCCCAGCAAACCAGTCTCATCATTTGGCAGGTTTTTGTTTATTTGTTTTTATGTTGTTTTGTATTGTAGTAAAATATACACAACATAAAATTTACCTAAATACTTTTTTAAGTGTACAATTCAGTGACATTAAGTATATTCACATTGTTTAGTACCTGGTACATTTTCTCACATGATTCTGTATTTTTAAAAATTCATCCAGAACAGTATTTTTTTTTTCTCTTCTGCTGAATTTAAAAGTCCACCAAAGGAGGCCAGGGACTTGGTTCTTTAACGCACCTAAGAAGTCAGCAGTAATGCCTTCCTCATCCTTCCCAGGGGACATGACCAGGGGCCTGCTGATCACTGGGTCATTGTTGATTTACCAGAGCTCTGATTATGACTAGCTATGGTAGTGTGGAACAAAGAAATGATATCAAATTGGGAAATAATACAAAAGGATCCTCTCAGCAGTATAGATGGTGATAGTTGCAGAAAAACCACTACGCAATCAGCAGCCTCTATCATTTTGTGAACCACAGCAGAGAAGGGTTGAGTAAGAGAAATCTTCCAGGCAGCACCACATTTGTGCCATACAACCATGAATACCTTGTTTAAGGTAAGATCTACGTCAATGTGTTTCATTTTCAAACAGTCCTGTATGGCTGTCAGGACGGAGGTTTAACATGAGAAAACTGGGGAAGTGGATGGGACTTGGCTTGCTGTCACAGGAATGGCTGGCCCCTAGAGAGTGAGTGATCAGACACCCTAGGGGGACAAGGCATCAAGGACTTGAGGACAAGCCTGAAAATGAAACCAGCTGTTAGACAGAGTGGGACAAGTATTTGAAGTTCCAGCTGAGTCTTCGCTCTTCTATGCTGCAAACTATATCCACAACACAGATCCTAACAAACCCAGGACTCATCTCCATCTGTGACAAGGAGTCTTCCATGCTCCTGTTTGGTGTCCCGTGAGCAGCCAACCACCTATGGTGCAGTGATGCTTTACAGTAGCTGACGACCCTGCCTGTTCAGAGCAGCAGTGGCCACGGCACCCCAGGTGAGATGTGCTCAGAAACACACTGTCTCGATTATGGCCAAGCCACTCAACCTTTAGATGTGAAAAATGAACTCAAAAAGACGCAAAACAAGGACAGTGTATGTCAGCGGCTACACTGCTCTCGGTTAAAGAAAAAGTGAATAAGCCGAGAAGCCTCTGAGGGCAGCTAAAACCGCAGAGAACAGAGAGGTCCCACTAGCATAAAGCTGCCAAATCTAATTTGGAAACAGGAATCAAAACAGAAAAAGGGAAAGCAAATGTGTAAGCCCTAAGTTAAAAAACATCTAAAGCCACCAGTTCTCACTCACATGTGAACACTGAGCTTCTGCCAGGACAGATGACAGAAGAAGTCCATGTTCCGTGCACAAGTTCTGTTCCACCCTTATCCGTTTTTTTGGACCTGTTCAAGCCTTAAACAATTCACCTTTACAATATATGTAAATGTATATGCTAACAGGAAGTCTAGAAATGAATTTCTAATTGATAAATGAAAACTCTTTTTAAAACACAACTTTTTTTTTCCCAAACAAGAGAAAATGTGAGGCTTTGCTATGGACTAAGCCAATGATTAGGCCTGCCACCAGGAGGCAGCAACGTAAGGCCCGCAGTGGCAGCGGCTGCCAGTGATCATAAATAAAGCGTTCCTGCAACACCCAAGCACACTCACCTGCCGGCGTGATATGTCTATGCTTCTGTGCTACAATGAGTTGAGCAGTTGTGACAGAGACTCTTCGGCCTGCCAAGCCTAAAACATTTACTATCTGGCCCTTTACAGAACGAGTCTGCCTACTCCTGAAACCTCTGAATAATATTAGACACATAATAAACACCAACCTGGAGGAGTAATAAGGGTTCTTCTGTGTTCTTTGCACCAGCCAACTGGATGAATGTGTGGACTAGATGCTTCACACCTGTAAGTCACACAAATCGAAAACTGCAATTATCAGGATAGACTAGCAAATGCTCATAAAACCAAACACAGTTAACTGGAGATTACTATCACACCGAGTTCTATTTACTATAACCTATCTAATTTGAAAAAAAAAAATGCTAAACCAAAGGATCTTTCATTCTTTCAATGTATTTATGCCAAGCACATTTTTATTTGGTAAACATCCAACGGATTTGTCACTGTGCAATTTTCCTTCCCCCACAAATGTTACCTTCTATAACTTCAAATACAGCAAAAGTGAAAAGATGATGTCATTAAAATTTGGAATTTCCATTCGTAGAAAAATTATGAGGAAAAATAAGTTTAGACGGTGTAGACACAGGGTGAGCTAAAACTATTCCAGCATCTCTAAAGGCCAGTGTGCAAAGGCAGGAAATGTAATCAACCTTAAGAACCAAAATGCTACTTCATTACCCATTAGAATGGCAGAGCCAAGTATTCAGGGAAGTATGGCTTTCTTTTCTGAACCCCTCTCTTCTCTCTGTCCTCTGTACCACAGTAAGTATGTATTTTTCCAAAGCCTCTTTACCAGCATGCACGCCTGGAACAGCTGTTTCCCTGCTCCTACCCTCACTTGTTTTACCCATTCCTCACCTAAACACAACCCCCTGCAGCCTCCCAACATCCCATGGGACGTGCGTGTTCTGTAGACAGCTTCGGAAATGTTGGCCTGGAAGGCGCCCAGCAGCAGTCTCGCCCTGGCCTACTGACTTGTTCTGCTGAGACTATCCCGAGACCAGAAATATCAACGACGTCCTCTAGGTGGGAAATAAGAAGGGAGAAAGCCAGGAAAGGCAGCAGTGGATGGAATTTCTGGGGACTAAATTAGTCTTATGAGTGGTGAAAAACAACCTGCCAAGAAATGCTGCCCTAAGTCAATGAGATCCACACGCAGTCACGACGTCCCAAACCGACGTCCCAGAGCACAGCCCTGGATGGCACGCGGTGGGTCTGGGTGACCACTCCTGAGGGCCGACCTTTCTCAGAACTTGCTTCAGTAGAAAATACCTTTCACTTGAGTAAAGTTGTCTTCCTTTATTCACTGGTCTCAGAGCCTCCCTACCTCCATGTTATCTTTCTTTCTAACCTGCCTATCAGGGCTAGGTGTGTGTAAGTCATTATTTGAGGAACATGAAAAGAAAACAAGGGCTGCTAGGTTAGTGCCAAGTTTATATGACAATCACTAAGTTTCTTACAAAAGATGTTTCCATGTAGGATATCTTCATACACAATGCATGAAGATGCCTTCTGTTATAAATTCTACAAACAAGAGTATGGAGCTCTATTTCCAGGTATCCCAGTGTTTTCCTAGAGAATCATTGTGATTGTGTATTATTACCTAGGGAAAGATGTTAATTCATATATAACGTCATTAAAAATGGAAAAATAACAAATATATGACATTTGTTTAATTTCTTTCCTTCCCAGGGTAACAGAACTATAAAGAAGTTTTGATGTAGATCTGTCAGACTCTTGATGGTCATTTTAAAGTGAGAACATTAAATATTACTCTTTTGATTTCACTGGATTTCTCTATGAATTGCTGTTTCATAAATACCATGGCATATTGTGGCTACTCATTCCTATACTATCTGAATATTATCTAAGGTTTTAGCAATGTCAAAATAACCATCAAGGTTATCACTTAAAGAGACATCTCAACAGACCAGATTAAAATAACCCTGTTTTTTTTCCTATTTTATCTCTACTTTTCATTTTTTCTTTTTAAAAAGCACCTATCAAAAGGGGCATTTTACTTACACTCTTAATAAGCAAACAACACTTCAAAAGTTGGAAGGCTGTGAAATTTCTGCTACTATTGTAACAAGTCATCTCTTAGTCCCATCTAGTGTTCAAAAGCAGAAATGTAACCAAAAAGAAGCACAATGAAGAACAGTCTGGCAAGTCCTTCATCTTGTACCTCTCTCTTCTCACATCATAAAAGAAGTTGATTTCAAAAAATTCTGTTAAAGTCCATTTCACATGTAAGTGCAAATTAATCAGGAAGACTGCTAAGATCCCATCAGCAAGATGGTATTTTGAAAGTGCCAGAAACTAAAGAAATAATTCATCAAAAAAAATTTAGAAAGATACAGGTAGCAGATGTGAAGATCCTCATTTTATGGAAATCAAAGAGGTTAAGTTGACTTCACGAAGCCCTTGGGTAGAAAAGAAAGAGATCCTGGCTTTATCAATCACAGCCAAAAGCTAAACAAAACTAATGCACACATGTGGGCTCCAGGGATTCAGGCAGGGTCCAGGGAGAACATTTCAAGATGCTTACTGAAGGAAAAACATCAAAGTCTCTTCATTTTTAGTAGTAAGGGTTTAGATTAAGGTGACCAGAAGTCCCGCTTCTGGTAGGGCAGTCCTGATTTTTAACAATTTGTCCCGTGTCCCGGGGCATTTTTAAAAAGTCCCGATTTTTGGAAAGAATGCACAACAAGCTAGGGAACGGTGGGAGAATGGGAAGGGAATATACAGTTTTCGGCTGCCATGTGGCTATTTCGCCAGGATATGAGTTATATATTATTTTGTTAATTTTATAATGTTAAAGTTTAATAATAACTTTAATAATAAAGTTAATAATTGTTGAGAATTGATCATCAAGAACTGCTTATCAAAGTTCACATTGTTCAGTTGTTAGAATTTGACAAGAAATATGCCAAAGAATAATACTATACATAATTTTTAATATATTGTATTTGTAAATTGTACTTATGTTGAACTGCAAAAAAATTACAATACTATTTTTGCATTCTATGAAAATTTTTGTTGCTCCATATAGACTAAATTTTTAATTAAGAACCCCCCCTCCCTGGTCAATGGCATCCCACTTTACTAATGTTAAAATCTGGCCATCTTAGTTTAGATGCTTTGAAAAAATACAGGGCACTTGGCTGCTTCTTCCCTAAAACCACAGCATTACCGTGTTTCCCCCAAAATAAGCCAGTGTCTTGTATTTATTTATTTTTAATTATTATTCTTTTTTTTTTTTTTGCAATTTTTGGCCAGGGCTGGGTTTGAACCCACCACCTCCAGCATATGGGGCCAGTGCCTACTCCTTTGAGCCACAGACGCTGCCCTCTTATATTCATTTTTTTCTCAAGACACACTAGGGCTTATTTTCAGGAGATGTCTTCTCCACGCCGAAATGCATGGTGTGGCTATGCAGATATGCTACACAGCTATACCCATCACTAGGTCTTATTATCTGGGTAGGGCTTATATTTAACAAATGCATAGAAATCCTGCTAGGGCTTATTTTGGGGGTAGGTCTTATTTTCGGGGAAACATGGTACTCTGCCAATTTATTAATGAGGAACCACCCTCTGGGCCCTCCCCTATACGTGAACTCTCCAGGGCCTCCATCACTGGGGCCCTGCACTTTACTACTAAACTCCAGCTTCACCAGGCTGGGTCATCTACTTCTCTTTTCCATCCTTAATTCATGCCCAATCTCATTCCCCACAGCAGCTATTTTAATTAATTTATTTCAAACTTAAAACCTTTCACTAGTATGGTGTCTACTTAGCAGAGATACAGGTGATACCATCTCATCACCTTCTTGTCAAAATCTTCTTTTACTTCTTCCTTTTTTCCAAGCTGAGAGAAGACAGTTTATTTCTTCCTGAGGTTAGCCCCTCCTCTCCTGGGAGACCTGGTGTCACCCATAATCCATGGTTCCAGGAATCTCCACTCTGCCCCTCCAGCTTTCTGCCTAAAAGCCAAGCTCAGAATGCTCCAGGCGCAAGGGCTCCTCCTTAGAGACGGACTCTGCTCAGGAATCAGCCTCTTTTGCCTGCAGCACCCAACTTGTCTGCTTAATATCCCTCATTGCTCTCCAATCTTTTGCAAACTGGTTTCTGCTCCTAAAACTCTTATTTAATCCGCCCAACACCTGATGAAGTAGGTATTAATATTAATCCCTTTTGCAAAGGGGGCAACTGACACTTAGTAATTTACACAACAAACTGGCTGCCATTCCCCAAACATATTCTACCTCTGGGCCAAAACACATGCAAAAGTTCTCCCTGGCCAGGAATATTCTATCCCAGCACCTACGTACCACCTACTTCACGGTCCAGCTCAAAGCACTCGTCCTCCAAGAAGCTTCCCCAAGAACCCTTCAGTGAGTTTGTGTCAGTCTTTCCCTCCATGTGCCACCACAGGGGCAAGTGTTTGGTTCCAGTAATTAAGCACTGGCCACCATCTACTCGGCTGCTGGGACAGTGGTGTCTCTGTTCCTTTCCTTCTCCAGATCATGAGTGCCAGCAGGTCCCATTTACTTCTGGAAGCCTCCTATCACCACCACCAGCCAGTGTCCTTCCCAAAGTTCACCAAAGAGAGACAAGGCTGCTAACTCTGACACTAAAAGAAGGTTGCAAACTTTCCAATATTATTGTAGAAAGATATACCATTACTATTACTTTCAATTTATAAATGTAAGAGACTCATCTCTACAGAAAAGTTTACAGTGCACTTAGAGGCAATGTGTAAAGGGTCCAAGTACCACATTCATTATAATTCACTAACTTACAGCTTCTCTTTTTCATAGATCTGTCTGTGCTGATTTTTGCCCTGACTCAACAGGACACCATACTGAAATGGTGTCTCATGCCTGTAGTTCCAGCTACATGGGGCTAAGGTGAGAGAACTGCTCAAGCCTAGGAGTTCGAGGCGTCAGTGAACTGTGATTGCATCACTGTGCTCTAGCCTGGGCAACAGAGAGAAACCCCTGTCACGACAGAGAAACAAACAAATGGATGAAGCTGCAACCTCATTCAGGTCTTCTTCTGCTTAACAATGTGCAGTGCCTCACTCCTGTAATCCTGGCACTCTGGGAGGCCAAGGTGGGAGGATCACAAGAGTCTAGAAGCTTGAGACCAAGTGTGAGCGAGAGCAAGAACCTATCTTCATAAAAAATACAAAAACTGGCTTGGTGCCTGCAGATCAGTGGCTAGGGAGCCAGCTACATACCCCGGGGCTGGTGGGTTCGAACTTGGCCTGGGCCCACCAAAACAACAATGACAACTACAACAACAAAAAAAAAAGCTGCACGTTGTGGTAGGCGCCTGTAGTCCCAGCTACTTGGGAGGCTGAGGCAAGAGAATCACTTAAGCCCAAGAGTTTGAGGTTGCTGTGAGTGGTGATGCCATAGCACTCTACCAAGGGCGACATAGTAAGACTCTGCCTGAAAAAAAAAAAAAAATTACTAGGGGTTTGATAGCCCACACCTGTAGTCCCAGCTACTTGAGAGGCTAAGGCAGGAGAAGCCCTTGAGCGCAGGAGTTTGAGGTTGCAGTGAGTTGTGATGACTCCACTGCACTCCACCCCAGTAACAGAGGGAGATCTTGTCTCTCAAAACAACAAAACAAAGGACTAACTCCTGTTGTCATCCCTTCACAGCTCCTAAAACACAAGAGCGTCTTTCAATTTTCAAAGAAAGATTACTCCTTCCCAGTGGTTGGGGACAGAGAGGAGGTGACTGCTGTCATCATGTATTCTGCCCCAGAGAAAAAGAGGCCGGAGCTCTGAGGGCAGAGGTGCCCTCCCAGTGGCCACTCACCTCCCTGGGCCTTTCAAGTCCTTGCTGGTGCCAATATTCTGTGATATTTAGGATTATTCCTAAATCTAATGACTATCAAGGAGACAGAATTAAACAGCTACCAACTATCAGCAACAAAGCACAGAAGAAACCGGGAAGAAAGCAATTTTTATTCTAATGCATATTCTTTTCCTGATGTAAAAACTACTTCAACCTTTTAGATCATGTTTCTCTTTGGAAAGAAGGAATATTTTAGTGCAACTAAACACATAGAACCACAAATGTATACCATCATCTACATGTTTTCAAATTCTCACCAATGTAAATTAAAAAGATATAGGATCACTAACCAAATTAAGAAAAAAAAAGTTCATTTCCAAACTATTTTAAATTGGGAAAGGCAATCCAATCTGTAACCTCAATGACATACCTAAGTAATTAATGCAGATAAAAACCATTCCAAAATTCAAAGATCAAAGAACTAATTTAGTAAAACTGGAGAATTTCCAGGGCACTTAAGCAGTTTCCAATGTGCCTTAATTGCATGTTGAGGAAGAGAACACACTGTTTTCTTTTTCTGACAATTAACAAATACGATTTCATGTCAGTAGTTAGAAGTGTAAGTAATTCTCAAAGTACATTCTATCCCAGAAATAATTAGTTTGTGCTCATAAAAGTATAAAACCAGACTTAAAAGAGGTCATCTTTTCTTTGCTTTTTCTATTTTTAGAACCTAGGATCTTTTTAGAACCCAGATCTTTCCAGTTTGCTTAAATCAGACAAAAGTTTTGAAAAAACCATTCTCTCCAAATCAATCACAATGTTAAATACAAAATGTTCTCACGTCAACAAATTCTAATCATCACTTTAGTACATGTATTTTTTTTTTTAAACATGTATCATTTATGAAGATAACAGAGCCCAGTCATTGCACAAATACGGCCATCACTGGAGTCCATCAAACTCAGAAGAGGGAAACATGTTTGACCCAGTCAGTTCAGATCTGTACAGTATTTTCAAACTTAAAAAGTTTTCTCATCCATTTATCTACTCCAAATAGGAACAGACAATTTTAAATGAATCAAAAAACACCAATTTATAGGAATTATGAAGAACATGGTGAATAGTATAACAAGGATTCAGTCAGGAAATCCAGACTCTGTGGGACTCAGGACCAGGGGTCCTCAAAATTTTTAAACAGAGGCCAGTTCACTGTCCCTCAGACCGTTGGAGGGCCAGACTACAGTTTAAAAGGACAGGCAGTGGTGGCAAAAACACCCAGTGGGCCAGATAAATGTCTTCGGTGGGCCGCAGGCCGTAGTTTGAGGACGCCTGCTCAGGACAGACAACCTGGCATCTTCAATAAAAGCTACAATGTTCCAGCTACCCAGGAGGCTGAGGCAGGAGGATCACTTGACCTGTAGTTGGAGGCTGCAGTGAGCTAGGATTCAATCCCTGCACTCCAGCCTAGATATAGTGAGACCCTGCCTCTAAAACAAACAAATAAATAAAAATAAGCTACAATAAAAGAATAAAAGATAGAGAGGAATAGGAATACAGTTCCTATTTACTATGTTAAACTATTTTAAATTGCACATGAACTCTGTGTCCACCCTGTACAATTTAAAAGAGATTAGGCAAAGCAATCACAATCATAAATGCCCCTTATTTGGATCAAAAAACCCACTAAACTAAAAACTCCATAAAACAAAAAACAGAGCACTAAAACAACTGGGAGATGTCTTTAAGTACGTTAGTAACAACATGGCTCTATATTTTTTAATACGGGAAAGAATCCCTCCCTTTAGAAGATACATACTGAAATATTCACAGATAAAATGCTGTGATATTTTGGAATTGATTTTAAAACACTCCTAGGGTTGGGATTTTAGGGGTAGAAATGCAGAGGAAACAATACTGGATATAGAAGTTGATAACTGTGCTGAATAATGCCTGTAGGAGGGGTACTCTGTTATTCTACTTCTGAAAATGCTAGAAATTGTCTATATTTCAATGAACGCTTTTGTTACAAACTTAATATGAGGACATCCTAGGAAGAATAATTATGCTTTGCAGAAAAAAATCTGGGGAAACAAACAAAATATTCAAAAGTACACTCGTCCCTTGGCATTTGTGGGGAAACTGGTGCCAGCAACTATCAAGTCCCTTATGTAAAATGCTTAGGGACTCACACAATCTACAGTACACCTGCTCTCCTGTGCTGTAATTCACCTCTAGATTACCTATGATACCTAATACAGTGTAAAAGGTACACAAATAGTTACCATACTGTATTTTTTGTTATTTTTTATTGTTTTACTGATTTTTGGGTTTTCCCTCCCACATATTTTTGATCTACGGTTGAATCCATGGATACAGAACCCACAAGCACAGAGGACTGACTTTCCTTAACTCTGGTAATGTAGTCAAGGAACTACTTGTTTACATCTTAAAAATTCTTTAGAAAGGGTATGTAAAATGTAATAGAAAGCATTTTTAAAATCTGAATGGCAAATGAGTTTCAATTTCGCTCCTTTTTGGAACAATGCAAGTAGAAATTATGCTCACGCCTGTAATCCTAGCACTCTGGGAGGCTGTGATGGGTGGATTGCTTGAGCTCAGGAGTTCGAGACCAGTCTGAGCAAGAGAAAGAACCCATCTCTAAAAATAGCAGGCAATGGGTGGGCACCTATATTTCCAGCTACTTGGGAAGCTGGTAGAGGATCACTTGAGCTTACTAAGAGTTTGAGGTTGCCCTGAGCTGTGATGCCACAGCACTCTACTAAGGGTGACAAAGTGAGACTCTATCTCAAAAAAAAAAAAAAGTAACCAAAAAACCCGAGAAGTATTGAAGAATCCAATTTGAGAATTAATGGGAATTACTGATAGGTCTACTGCATAAATATATAGACGGAAAGTAAGAAATGAACTTCCCTGAAATTCAGCAATATTTATATAAATTAACATTTGCTTAAAACATACCATTAGCCCTATTTATAAAGATATCTGTTACTTCTCTAAAATATTCTCATTTCAAGTGTTCTCAATTCAGATATGCCTTCCACCTGGACACTGAACTGTAGCCATCAATGAACATGCAGTAGGTATGAAAAATCTTTATTCAAACTGTTTAATTAAAATACAATAGCTTTATAATTATTTCATAATTACATAATTTTATAATAGGTTGCCCTTACTATTCTATGCGCTGGATCTAAAATCTGTAATAATTAAAAGCAATATTCCCAAATATATTTCTACTCAGCTATTAGGAATGGTTAAATTAGCTAGTGGGCATGAAAACGGGAAAGCAAGATTAAAATACATGTGAGCATATGCTGGGAACGCAGGCTGAGCCGACTGCACTTCCATGATAGGAAGTCAACTCAGAGACAAATCATAAAGTAGAATTAAAGGAGGTTATTTAAAATACACACCATATGCCACACGGAACAGGTAAAAAGTCAAAAATCTTGAAATAGGAAAAAAGTGGAGCAGAGCACCATTATTTTTTGTTATAAGCTCTTAAGCGTTACTGTTTTTAAAACAATGTACCTGGTTTACTTGGATAAACACTGAATTCTAAAAAGCAGACACCAATGGAAAATGTCTCACCAATAGTCATAGCTCTCATCCCAGTTGTCAAAATGTACCAGGAAACGATTGTCCACCATGTCTGTTACCGTGGCAACACAGATGAATGCAGGATTCTTTTTGTCTACAGCCTCAAGCTTCATACCAACTCGAAAGCCTGATGGGATCACTGTCTACAGAAACATACAGATTTAATTAGAGATAAGCACACACTTAACAACAGCGAGACCTGAGCACTCCCTGCATCTCTTGCTCAAAGGCCCAGCATCCATCGTTGTAGTCGCATAATTTTAAAATCATGTGCTAGTTTCACAGCAGGGTTGCTTTCCAACAAGCAGCGATAAAAAAAAAAAAAATGCCCTATTGCTACACCCAGTTAACTATCTGGGCCTCAAAACTACAACATTCACAACCTCACAGTTTAAAATAATTAATTTTAAAATGTATTTTGGTACCTTTGTTAGAAAACTGTATTGGGTAGGCAAGTTTTACTCACCATCTAGTTCATGTTTTATCCTTTTTCAGATTTAACAATGAAAATTATTTCACCCAAAATATGCACTTAATCAAGTTAAAAATGTGCATGAGTCAGTATAAATTCACTCCCACTTTTAAAAAGGCCTCTCAAAAGAGTACTGAAAGTAGGTCATCTTCATATATGAAAGGCTACAAATTATTACAACTTTTACTTAACACTACAGATACTTTTTAGTCACAACAGCATCAAAAGAACCGTTAATGTATACAGCCATCCAAAAGGAAATTCAGACTATCAGCCATCTGGGCCCTGGAATGAAAGCACTTTAAGTTTGATAACAGTTAGTGCCTGACGTACAGCAATATGTAAACATCTCTTACAATCTTTTGGGAGGAAAAATATCCTAATGTTAGAGTACTCAGGTGTCAATTATGCCAATCACAATACACCATAAATCGTTTCTTCCCTTCTTAAAAAAAAATCCTTCTACCTAGACTGAAGTGTATGGATGTGATTCTAACTACTTTAGGAAAAACAGATACTATCTCGTTTTACTATAATTAAACAGCTATTATTGTAAAAATGTAGATGACTGTGTACCTGAAAATGTTAGAACAAGTCTGGTCTGAATTGAAGGGAGAGGCACTAATGCTATATGACAATCTTCACTACACAATTAAATCCTAAAATTATTTACCAGCAGTCCAGCCATAAACATTTGAGCATTCTGAGGTAGAGGAAGCGAGAGGTGAAAAAATTAATTGCCTCTTAGATACCAAACACACAAGCCAAGATTAAGTTCTATGCCAGCAATGCACAGAACTTCAGCGGATGGCACAAGGCAGTTAATAAATCCCCGACTGAAGTCATCATCAGAGAACCAGACAGGGATTAGGAAACTTGGAACAGAGATGGCAGGGTTTTCCACCTAACTGACCTTCTTCCCGGGGTAAGTTTTGTCGGAGAATAACTACTGACAAGGCAGTATTTACATTTCAGCAATTAAGCTTCCTCTCAAGTGAAGTGTTTTAAAATAATCACCTGGTTCATTATCTCCACTAGTTACACACACACACACACCCCTTCTTCGGTTCTCTAATTCAACAATTATGTTCAATTTAATCAGAGAACATTTCAGCCATTAGACTGATGCTCTCAGATCAACTGGTTAAATTTTTCCCCAAAGGAGGGTTTCCGGAGAGGGTGAGAAGGTTTTTCCCATTCCGGATGTTCATTTCCAGTTGGAGGGAACATGGTCAGGGAAACGGTACTGCCTGCCTCCACCTCCCACTGCCGGCTACCTAACTGGCGACTCTGGGCAGACTCCTGGGAGGAAGCTGGGGTGCACTCTGCTCCTTGAGGGTATGGTGTTTCACGGGCTCAGGAGTTGGGGTGGGAAGGGACAATCTCTTTAATTCCAGGGCTCAGAAGCAGATACAGCCCAGCCCCCCACTGGCTGTAAAGACAGTATTTTGCTTTTCTACTTGTTTGTCCTCTGTTCTTGGGAACAGACGACTGGAACCTATCCGGCGCCCTGAAAGATGCATGTCATCAGAGGAATATGTAACAGAAAGCAGGAGCACCGGTGAAGCAGCAGAAAATACACACACGTCTAGACTTTGCTTCTGTCATGCTGCTAATACAGCTATATGCTGGAGAAAATGTCAGTCAGTCTCCAGCGGCCTCAACTGAAGCAGGGCTCCCTTCACCACCCCAGGTGAACCCCATCTGAACAGCACTCCTAAGTAACCGTAACAATAAAGTATCTCAGTTTCATTTTTATGCATATTAACTACAAATGCCACCTGGATTTTGTATATTGTCTTCTATAATTCAATAAAAAAGACAACCATCAGATGGCTCTACACTGCATATATATTCATGAAGACTTTAAGCTAATTTTCAAGTTTAAGATAAGAGCACTCTATCAAGGCAATAAAATTTATTATGGTTCCTTATTAATTTATCATTTGTAATTTCTCCCATGAGATACTCAAAAACTCACTTCCATTAAAAGGACAAGTACTTTAGATAAACTTACTATATTCTGATTTTCAAATAATGACTTCGGAGCAGCCTGAGCTTTGCATGTCTTAAGGTAGGTCTGCCAATTAAATTCTTCTTCTTTATATCCTAGAGTAAGCACATATGAACAGACTTAGGGAAACAATGAACTACTGTACACTTAGTTTTCTGGTCCCACTTTTACATACATATAACTCCAACATGCTCCAATCAAGCTATCAAGTGATTTTTTTTAAATAAACAAAAATTAACTCATAATTCATAACTATGGATTGTTACACACAGCTGTGAATCTTATTATTTTTTCAATTCTGAATGAATGAATGGTAGGAGATATAAAGACAAGGATGAGGAAGGAAATGCATATATGTCCAGGCTGTTTCTACTGGTGTGTGGGCAGCTTCCTCCGCAGTGAGACTAGTGAACAGGACCGATCAAGTTCTCTGTTCTTTCCTCGCCTATTCTATTAGGGGAGACTAACTTAGAGAAGTTATGGAACTCAGGGGAAAAGAAGTAATAAATCAGGCAAAATCTTTTTGGCCTATCACCACAAGAATGGCACTAAAAGGTTCATGAAGTAAGGATGCTGGCCAATTACACGAAGGGAAATATCCCTGCATTAATTTGCACAATTTTATTAAAGTCAACAGTTCCTTAAAGAAAGGAAATTAAGCATTGTATTTTATCAGCTAATGTGCTCTCTTTTACTTTCATTAATGTCTTAAAGGTGGCATGAAAAAAAACAGCCAGTAATTCACCATAAATAAGAGGTCAATTCATAAAAATGCTTACGAATTTTCTTTTTCATCTTCAACTTTCCTATGCCTTTTTGTTTAATCCTCAGCTATCTGGAAATAGGGATTCTGCCATTGATTTTTCACCTACAACCAAGGATTGGCTGGTCTATTAAAAAATAACAGCCCTGAGACAGGCCAAAAATATCACATTAGTAACCTAAATTTTTTATTTCAGATTGAAAGAAAGGTACATACAATTAGGTTACATCGTTTGAGTTTGTTAGGAAAAAACCAAGTTGTACTGAGTCTTCACCCAGGAGGTATACTATATACCTTGACATTGTACCCATTAGGTGAAAGCTCACTGAGCTCCCCCCCTTTTTTTTTGGCTGGGGCTGGGTTTGAACCCCTCTTCTTGAATTTAATTTGTGTTCTTCATCTCGTACATGGGTTGCTTTCTTTTCCTTTCTTGAGATGCTTTACTAACGAGAATGTTTTTCAAGTCCATCCAGATAAATGCAAAAGATATAAAGTCTCCCATCTTTTTTTTTACGGCTGAACAGTGTTCCACGGTATATATATACCACAGTTAATTAATCCATTCATGGGTTGATGGGCACTTCAGTAATGTAACTTTTTGATATCAAGTAAATAATAAATGTATCTGTCTCGGTAAAATAAGTTTAAAAAATGTAATAGTTGAAAAAAAGGAAACAAGATTTAAACACTTTATAGAGACTTAGAGATGGACTGAAAAAGTATATCTGCTGTTCTTGGATCTTTATATAAACATAAAAAAGGAAAAATCACCATAATAAAGAACTCAATTTCAAGAAAAGTAATTGCTCTGAGTTCAACCCCCACCTAAGTCAATTTTCAGAGTTGCCTTCTCCTTTTCAATCTCCTAAAATATTAAGACCTACAAATTCATGGATTATTTCTCAGGATTTTCTATATACTGAAGTATCAGTACATAAACTTAGTTGTATAAACTAGTTAAAACTCCTTTTCCAATCAGTTTTTTAAGGATATATATATGATAGAAATCTGTATGTAAAAGCTGCCTGCAAAATTAAGTATCATGCAAACATTATTTTATATGTAATAGGAACATGGATATGGTTTAGTCTCTTGGTGGATTCTGCTTTTAACTTCTTTCACTTTAGTAAACATTTGTCATCATAAATAATAAGTTTAAATTTGGGGCCTCATGAATTATCATAAAGTCTGAATTCTTAAAAATTCCAAATCAGCATGTAAGAAAATGAGTTTTTACCAAATTTAGAATATAAAACAAAGCATGACAATACCTTTGGGAGGGTGGAGTTTATGGCCAGTTTTCTCGCACCACCCGACTGGGTGGATATCCAGAGCGTCTGCATTGACCCAGAAGTCATAGCAGTCCGAATAGCCATCAAAGTGAAGCTTTATCCGGTATCCACAAACCTGAAATAGGTAAAGCAAGGTTGGGTAATTAAAAAACAAACAAACACAGAAAATTCATATACACATACAAAAACAAACACGGACATCAAGTACGATGTAGCTTATATTAACCAAACTAATCACATCAACAGCCACAAAAACTCAATCAATAAAATCTAAAGGCAAAGGCCATTATATTAGAAAGAGATGAGCTGTGGTGTTCTGGCGACATCTGAGTGAGCATGTGGACAACTGGGGAAGAGTAATTTTCCCACAAATACGAGTCCTTTCTCCATCCCCTATATTGGACCAGCACGTGCCACCAGGGGGAGGTGGCAGGGAAGTAGCCAGATCAGCATCCTACACAGCTCCAGCAAGCTGGAGCGCTCAGGCCATAGTGAATGATGTGGGCCACATCGGGTCAGCACAGGAAGAAAAGACAACACATTTTCTTCTCCAGCAGTAGCTGGGTTGGAAGACAGACAAGCTCCTCCAGTTTACACTTCAGGTGAGACAGAGTCCTTGGAATGTTAGGAAGAACTCACTCTGTAACACACAGCCTGCATCTGCCTACAGGACCCCATTAGGGACATTCTGAGTTAAACGGACACTGGGGTTTTTGGGACCTGAGCTGGGTCGTGGTTCTGCCCTAGGCTGTCAGAGGGTTCAGCCTCTCAATCTGCCTCCCACTAGCACATGCAGCCATGTTCAGGTAGACACACACACCACACCTACCCCAGGAGCGCCCACCCTGCAGAAGCCTGAACACAAGTGCAGAGCCAGGGCAATTAACCCCCAAAGAATGAGGTGGCTATGCCGTTACAGTCACAGAAAGTTCTCTAAAACATATTGTTAAAACCCAAGTGGCAAAACAAATTACACAGGCTGAGTTCATTTATGAGAGGATTATCTGTGTGGGCGTCCACAGGTGTATATGATTATATGTACATGTTCATATATACAAATATATAAGGAAATGCATTCATACGCACGTTTATATACACGCTTACACATATGCATTTAACTTATAGAAAAATGTCTCGCAGAGTATCTGCCAAAACATTAACAATGATATATTGTGAGAAGTGGTTGCGAGAAGGCAAGGACAAAAAGGGAATGATGGCTTTTTATATTTTATCTTACATTATAATGCAATGATGTATTTTATATACATAAAATTTACAACTCAACTGACCCCCCTCTAGAGAGATCAGACTCCCCACAAAGCTGAACCTGGACGACCTGGGAAACACAGTGTCTCATGAAGGGTAAGTAGTCCTCCCCCCTTCCTCCTCCCCCCCACCCCCCGCCCCCCACACACCACACCAAGAAGGAACTCAGGGCCCACTTCTCGACTCTGCCTCGCGCTCAGGAGTCCGGTCATTGCCTAAGAGCTAAGTCCCTTTAGTACTCTTCAGCCACTAGTCCCCCTCCAGGCCTACTGCTCTGAGCTTCTGTCCCCTTGAGCCACCCTTGTTCTGGTTTCCCAAAAGTCTCTCTTCTCATCTCATACCTTCTGGGGTGCTATGCTTTGGTAAAAAGTCTCCCATGTCCTCAGCCCCCCTGCCAGAGACAAACGAGTTCACCACTCTCCAGCCTTTCCTCAGGGCTGCTCGTCTTCCTCGCTCTCCATCCGGCCACACAGCAGTTCCTGGGCCGGTGCCTCTTTAGAGATGCCACCACCTCTCCTGTCACCATCCATGTGCTAACCTCCCAAACAGCCCCTCTCACTCACCAAAGGCCCAGCCCACTTCCTCCCACTCTCTGAGCGCTCTGTCACCTACAGGATGACTTACCCAGGAGCCTGACACTTTGGCTGCCTTCATTTCCTCGCCACTTCAAACCCTCACTCCTGTGGCCCTAGTCCTCATCAGAAGCTGCTCTGCTACTAACTGTCGAATGGGAAAACCCAACCCTATCAGCCCATACTCCTGTTCTTTCAGCTCGCCTGGCCAGTTATTCCCAAGACTCTTCCTCCTCAATCTGAACAAAAGACCTCACATCGATCCTTCTGCCTCCTCCCTGGCCTCTCACCCCCAGCCTTCCTTCCCCTATAAGTCCCTTCAAACATTTTCTTGCCAACATTTAAAAAAGTTTTGCCCTGATGTCTTTCACAAAACATCTGCCTGGCAAAATATCTCATCTCAAGTACCCACTAGTCTATACTTATACCCCGCCTAGCGAATGGTGCTGGCAAAGAAAAATGACACCCTGTCTGTCAATCTCCATTATTCACGTGGTCTGTACTTGAAAATTCATCTACTTGCTAACATGTATGAGCAAGTGACACCCCGAGTGTGCATGGACACGTGCACGCACAGAGCAAAAAAAGTTTTGAGTTGCCGAATTTGGCCGGTTCCCAGATGAGGTAGAAGGGGGCACTGCTGTTCCGTGTTGCATCAGCTCTCCTGCTGTGAACAAGTGTCCCGTGCGTGGTCTATTCCACATCTCTGTGCTTTCTGCTGGTGATTTTGCTGTTCACAATGGCCCCGCGCACAGTGAAGGGCTGCTGAGTATGCCTAAGTGCAGGAGGGTTGTGATGTGTTGGAGGGAGAAGATAAATGCTAAATGAGCTTTATCAGGCGTGAGTTCAATGTATGAATCAACAATACACATTAAGGCAGGTATATTTAAAAAGAAACACACAGGGGCGGCGCCTGCAGCTCAGTGAGTAGGGTGCCAACCCCATATACTGAAGGTGGCGGGTTCAAACCCAGCCCGGGCCAAACTGCAACAAAAAAATAGCCAGGTGTTGTGGTGGTCGCTTGTAGTCCCAGCTACTCAGGAGGCTGAGAAAGAGAATCACCTAAGCTCAAGAGCTGGAGGTTGCTGTGAGCTGTGATACCACTGCACTCTACCGAGGGCGACAAAGTGAGACTGTCTCAGGGGAAAAAAAAACACACACACACACACACAGAAAACAAGGTTTCATACTGATGAGTAGACAGAAATGTAAACAGATGCTCATAGAAACCTAACCCTGTGTATTTCCTCTGGGATGTAATGGTCCCATATTCGTTGATTGTGGACAATTACAAGCAGTAAGAATAGACCCAGGGGAACCCACAGTATCTGAATGCTGGGCTTCCTTGCTGTACTGCATGCAATCCTCCTAGAAGGCCCACCCAGCTTCCTCCCCCATTTTTTTGCAGCAGCCTTTTCAAATTTTCTTCCTTCAGCTTCCAATCCCGCTACCTACCCTCTCACTCTCAGTTAATAACTTACCTTGTATGTCAAAGAAGTTCCCTCAAATGTCTGCCTCCAAAGTGATGCGCCTGCCTGTACCCACAAACCTGTTTTTCCCCCTACAAGACTGAGACCCATCCTGGCTAAGACATACACCTCCTCATATACTCAGGTGTCCCATCTTCTCACCCCTCTTTCCCTGAGCCCTCTAATACTCTACACTCCCTGGACTGCCTCCCAGGCTTAGGCAAACAAATTCTCATCACTCTTGGTCAGAATATAGCAACTAACAAATTATTTTGGAGCCAAAGTAACAACATGCATCAAAAATTTAAATGTCCAGAATTCTTCAACTGGGAATTCTAAAGATGGCTCCACAGACCTACTTACATGAGCAAAAAACAAACATCTATAAGAAGATGTTCACTGGGGCACTTACTTGTGTGAATAAGAAAATGAACACCACTCAGCTCTTCATCAATATATGAAAAGTTAAGTGAATTATAGACAATTCCATAAAATGGAGCAATACCCAATGGTTACAAAGAATGTGTACACATAATGTAATGTATACATGAATCACAAAAGCAAGGTGCAGAATATTATAGATACTATGATACTCTTTATATGTAAAAAGGAGAAAAAAGTACACATGCATGTATTTTTAAATGCAGAGAAGACATCTGGAAGGAACACAGTTAACTGCTGAGGGTCATGCTCTCCGGGACCTGGAAGGAGAGGTGAGGGATGGGACAGAGGACTTCTATTGTTTATAATACACATTCACACTAGATGAAGTACCCATAATGACCAAACATTACTTTTATAATTTAAAAAATTATTTAAAAAAAATTTTTTTTTTAAAAAGTACAAAGAAAAATAAATTTCCTTCAAAAAGCAAGAATTGAAAGACACATATAACATAGAAATTCTTTTTCTCTTTCACAGCTAAACTTCTCCAAACCAGTATAGGCTCACTGAACCTGTTTCCTCACAATGCTCCCATAAAACTCAGATCCATCTCAAATGAACTGCCTGGCCCGGGACACACTAACCTCATCTCCCTCATCTGAAGCATCTGATGCTGCCCTTCCTCCCCTCGGTCACCTGCTCACTCTCCCTGGTTCAGCTAGAGGCCCAACTCATCCAGCTTCCTTTCCCTCTGGCTGTTCCTTTCCAGATCCTTCTCTGGCACTTTCTCCTGTACCCACCCCTAATATTCCACTATTCTCCTGCGCTAGCAATTCACACCTTCTCCCCTCTCTGAGCAATCTCATCCACTTCAAAGGACTAATCCAATTATTCACCAGAAATTCTGACTCTCCCCTTCCAACTCCAAAGGGCCAAACAAGACCTCCAGAGTGCAGGAGGGAGAACACATAGGATGTCTGATCGAGTTTGAGAGGGGCAAGATTCTTATACTCTATATAAAATCTGCAAAAATGCTCCACATCAATTTTCTGGTAAGAGTAGCCATTTCCTTTCACTGCATATTACATTTATTACAAGTCACAAGTTACTTCAGCTCTGCCTTAGTTTTCTTATCTGAAAAAGAGGAGGAATGGGCTCCATTTCAAAAGTTATTATTTTTTTCTATTTTGAGACAGAGTCTCACGTGGTCGCCCCTGTAGAATGTCCTGGTTCACAGCAACCTCTAACTCTTGGGCTCAAGTGATCCTCTTGCCTCAGCCTCCTGAGTGCCTGGAACTATAGGTGCATGCCACAGTGCCTGGCTATTTTTAGAGATGAAATCTTCCTCTAGCTCAGGCTGGTCTCTGACTCGTGAGCTCAGGCGATTGACCCACCTCAGCCTCCCAAAGTGCTGGGATTACAGGCATGAGCCACCACACCTGGCCTCAAAAGTTATTCTGAAAATTAGTATGAGCTAATAAAAAGAAAGCACTTGGATTAGCACCTGGCATGCTCTACGTAACTGCGTGCTATCATTTACGAAGATGGTCATCACCAGGCTATTACATGTCACTGAGTCCTGTAGGAGCTGAGCTTCTTACAAATTCACGAAGTTGATGAAAAAATACGAAGATACCTAAAACTAGTGCACAAGATGATCTTATTGTTTTGGAGGGATTTTTAAAACATACATATTCCTGTCTCAAGAGAGGGAGCAAGGAGGAAGCTAAAATTTTTATAAAGTGCCCTCAGGAATATACTGGATTGAGATATACACCCCCCCACACACACAAATATACATAGATACATTCACATGTGTATTTATCTCCATGTATATGTATGTGCATATATGTGTGTATACATATAATTAAGCCGGTCACTTTTTCCTGAACAATTTCACAGAGATACTGCAAAATACCTAAAAAAGACCTAAGGAGCTCCACTGGCCTGTTCCTGACACAGTATGGTAAGAACTATGCAATCAGGAAGATCTAGGTTCAAATCCTTGTTCCATCACTTTGAAGCTGTGTGGCCTTTTATTTATCACTTCCCCTCTCTGAGCCTTAGTTCTCTATAGAACGAGGATGAAGAAAACATGACCTGCACAGGATTCTTGGAAAGATTAGATGAGATCATGTACACAAAACACCAAGCACCGAACCAGGCAGGAAGTAAGCCCTCAAACAATGGCAGTTTGCCCTCATTATTAAAATAATCATCATTTCATTTTTGAAAAGAAAGACGAGGCAAAACCTACCTCAGCCACTGTGAGAACGCAGTACACAGACTGGTGCTCCGGGTCCACGCCTTCTAACTTCATGCCAACCTTGAATCCGTTTTTGTTATACGGAAAGGACTGATACTAAAATGCAAGAGGACAGCAGCTTCAGCGTCTCATCCTGAAGGCCCAGCTACAAACATGAACAACTACTGTTCTTAAGATAAAAGTCTATTTAACAAATACATAAATAAACAAATCCTAAAAACCCAAAAGGGAAGGATTAATAAATGATTCAAGGGAAAAATGGACAAAAGCTATCAAGGGATCAAATGAAAAGACACTGGAAGTGTTACAGCTTTTGTCTTTTCCATATTTGAAAAGACGTTTAACTTTACCCATAAGAGTCATACAAGGTAAAACTGTCACCAAGGTACTTTTCACCCATCAGGTTAGTAAAGATCAAGAAGTTTGGTAACACCATGTTGGTAAGGTTCTGGGAAAACAGACGCAGGCACACATCGCTAGGAGAAATGAACTTGGTTCAACCTCTAGCAATTTCATACGATCTACTGGTGTGTGTCAATCAGTACTGAGCAACATTAATTATCATGGAACACACCTAAGATGGAATACTCTATGTTAGTACAGAAGAATGACAAAGGGATTCACGAGCTGAAATCATCTCCAAACTGCCCAGGTAAATGAAAAAAGCAACATCTAGAAAGTATTTATCAGATGTTGCCATTTGGTTTAAGGCAGACAGGGGAGGATTTGTGTAAATTGCTTATATATACCTAGAATTTTCCAGGAAGGGGATGTAAGAACTGGTAATAGCAATCACTTAGGAGAGGCAAACCGGGAGCTTAGGGGACAGGGCTGTGAGGGACACAATTTTTATCCTTTTAGTCCTTCCACATTTTGAATCACATGAATACATTGCTGATTCAGATCATCAGTTGTCTTTAGACTTTAAAAAAAAATGCAAGCAACTCTATTCTGTAAAGGACCAAAGTTACAGAAAATAATTACACCAAACAAGTTTGTATGTAATTACTACTACATTTAAATTAAATGTTCTTAATGTAGATGTACTCATCCTCATGTTTACTATTCACCACGATGTAAAAACTCCCTATGCTCAGACATATATAAAAAGATTCCTATGGCAGATTTATTATATACCATGATTAAAAATAACTGAATAATTTAAACCAAAGGTCTGCAAACGACAGTCTGAGGTCAAAACCAGTCGACCACTGGTTTTTGTAAATAAAGCTTTAGTGGACCACAGCCACACTCCTCTGTTTACATACTGTCCCCGGCTGCCTTTGTGCTACACCCAACTTGAGTTGTTGCAACAGAGACCAGATGCCCTGAAATGCTTAAAATATTTACTAGCTAAGCCTTTACAGAAAAAGTTTACTGACCCTGTTTTCATCCAGTGATAGCAGCTTCTACTCAAAACTATACATGTTACTTAACTGATTTTAAATCATGTATGATGAAGTATTTTTATTATAGCTAATATAATATAGTGACCCATTTTTCAATGTTTTGTTGTGATAATATAGAAATCATTCTCATTCTGCCAAAGCCATCATGTTTGAATGAATGAAATTTTCTGCCAGTTTTTTAACTCCTAGTTTTTTTGGAGTAGTATCAGTATCCCCATTAAAGTTCACGAGTGCAAACTCAGTAAAAGCTGAGAGAAAAGAGTGTGTGCATGTCAGCGTGCACCCATGTGTGCGGCCCTGGGGAGGTGTGCCCACATCAGCGCTGTCTTCCACATAAACACACGCGTGAGAAACTATGTGTCTAAGAAATGAGTCCAAGTCAAACTTCCCAAACAGGCAGTGGGAACAACAACCCCAGTGGGAGCAGCAACCCACAGCTCCTCTGCCTCCCAGAACGTGTTTCTAGAGGGCCGATACCTCCTTGAAGAGCTTCACCGGCACCGCCACAGCCTTCTCCTCCTCCAGGTAGGACGCCCAGCACCACGCTTTCTTTCCTTTGGGAGGCAAACCTGAAAGTCAAATCGGACTAAAATGACAGAAATTTCCAACTCTAAGAACTTAGTGATGCCCTCTGTGAACTCTCACTTCCCCCACGACTCCTGCACCTGGCTCTCCCATATTTCCACGGCTGGTATCGCTGTCTCAAGTCCTGGCTCCTCTTCCTGAGAAACGAGAGCTAAAAAGTGAACTGTGGCAGGCAGACGCCACAGCAGGGTGGAGGAAAGAAGTGGAAGGACTTCCAGCGACTGAGGAAGACCCGGCAGGAAGACAGAACCCCACCATGCAGAGCTTCTAGACATTTCTCCTAACAGATCAAAGGCCAGTGCACGGAGTAGATGAGGAATGGGTATTAATCATGGAGAGATGGAAAAAAAATTCAATACGGCAAGAGTCGGAATTTTTAGATGCAAAAGGAATATGTAAGTGATGAAAACATGGAGGTAGCTATTACCAATTTTATTAATATGACAGGGAAGGGAAGACTGTAAAAGCTTGACGGGCAGCAGAATTACAGGAAAGGTATCTAGGGGTGACACTGGAACCGGCAAAAATAGAGCCCAAGAAGAAAATGGAAAAGCTACAGGAAAAAAAATGATTGAGGGAAAAAGGTCCAAGAAGAGCCAGGGGCCTAGAATTCCATCCCAAGTAGAAAGGAGGGAGACGGGAAAGAAAGGTCCAGGAAATAGATGTGTTGAGACAGAATACACAGTAACTGAGGAACTTACTCCCTTTCACCTCAGCCACAGAAAACAGAGTCATCTCTGAAAACACACAGCGGTTAGGCTATGCGCCTGGGGCAGGTAGGGACATTGCCAATCCTTTTGAGGAATGAACAGAAGAACCCGTGAGTAAAGCATCTGGACTCTGAGTTGGAGCACCGGGCTGCAGGGGAAAGGTGACAATGGGGCTGGGATCAGGGTGACGCAGAGCAGAGGGGCCTAAACCAAAAGTCTGGCTGCACCAGGCCAAGGGAAGCCTCGCGGAGCACTCTGGGTCCTCTATGGGAAGACTCAAGGTCCTGAATTTACCCAGACAAAAGACTACAAACAAGGGCCCAAGGGCTGGATTCCTCATGGAATAAAATACTGTCTGAGGAAGAATGAAAGGAAAAAGGTTCCCTTGTCACGAGCCACATTGTGCTTGAGAGTAAACATAAAAAACCTAAAACCTTGGAAAATGAACCAGAACAGATAGTGTCATAAAGAGGCAGACGCAGAAACCACCCACCTGATGGAAAAATAAAGATGTTCTCAAGCTTACCCTGAAACCACTTGATAGTTAACCAATTTCTATTTTTCTCTTTACTTCCTCAGAACCTTAATTTTTACCAATAAAATGGAGTTGAAGAAAATCCCAAAGCAATACTGGGACTGTCACAGCATCCATCCCAATGAAAACTAAAATTTCTACCTGCGTAAAACGTTTTCAGTATCAGAAGGCAACAAGCAAAACCTTTCTCCATCAGCTCACCCGGCTTTAATACAGCGGAATCTCCTCGTCTTTTCCTTCGGGCTCTCTGCGAACCTCTCAGGATTCTTCCATCTTGTTTATTCTCCTACAACAAGAAAGGAAAACGATGACTTTAAAAGTTCATGAAATTGGCACCAATGAAAAGTTAGAAAGCTGTCAGGAAGCATTTTTTTTTTTTTTTTTGCTGTTGTTCTTTTCTTCAATTTCACTTCATAACTTGCAAGGAAAGAAAGAATATAGTACATTTGAGAACAGTGTTGCTTTTGGCCTGAGGTCAGTAGAAAATAAGACCGTTTCCAAGAACTACCGGCTGAAAGAGCACGGACCTGGCTCCCTCCTGCGCTGCTCCCCGAGGCAAGGTCCACTCCCTGCTCCTGCCTCTCTGTTCTGGTCTCCCTCACACTGCACCAGCCCTTCCTTCTCAGTCTCCCTCTCTTTTCTTTCTACTTACTTCCCCTGTCATCTTATCTGACAAATACTCCTGTCCCTATCTCCAGCCCCCTTCTCCCTGACTCCATGTGTCTGCCCCCAACTGCTTATTTAGGCTATTCCCTGGACGGTTAATAAGCATCTCCGAGCAGGATGGTCAGTGGACTCTTGATTCTCTGCTCCACCCTGCCTTCTCATTCTTACTAAGCAGCGTGATTATCCAGTTAATTGTCAAAGCCAAAAAATCTAAGCAGCATCCCTGACTTTTCTCTTTTCCTCATACACTCCAACAAGCCTACCTCTAGCACAGACCCAAGTCCACCGACTTCTTTCTTCCACGTCTGCCACAATAAACTCCAAACCCGCCTCCCTCATTCTACTCTCGCTCTCATGTATCAAAGCTGCAGTGGTCACCTGAAAACACACATCATAGCAAAGCATTCCCGTACCTTCAACTTTACGATGGCTCCCCTTATACTCAGAATACAGTAAAGACCCATTGTTCTGCCATACTATGAAGCCCCCATCCCTGGACCACCCATACCTCTTTCCCCCCCTCCACTCTCCTGTAGACCACAATGCTCAAGCATATTGCCCTTTTTTATTTCTTCGAACAGAAAATGCCATACAAGTTCTTACTGCAGAGACGTCCCCTAGCTCTGCTGCCCAGAGGACCCTTCATTCTTCACTTTTTTATAGCTGGCTCCTTATTATTCAGACCACATTGTCCACGTCACCCTCTTTGGGGGGCCTCCCTGACAACCCACATTAAAGCAGCCAGCCAATCCTAAAGTCCTATCTTAATTCCCAACATAGCACTAGCTGACATCTCTCCTGTTCGTTTGTAAGAATGCAGCATCTCAAAGAGGGAGACCCTGTCCGTCCTGTCTGTCTGACTCATCCCTATATTCCCAGCTTCTACAACAGCGACCAGCAAATAACACTTGCTCAATATTGACCTTAAGGGAAATGCTTCCAGACCTTGAGCCATTAATACACAGTTTGAAGATAATACATTTATGTTTTAATTAGCATGTTCTGAATGACTTTTCCCCAAATATACCTGATATTTATGTGCCATTTTCTACCCACCCATATACTTCTATGAGATCTGCCTGTGATTTACCAAAATGGGAATGGCATTTTGTTGTCAAGAGGAATTTAAAATTCATCTACAAGGTTCTGCTCTTGCCTCTCACTCCAGAAATACATTTCAGGACATCCCGTTTCTTCATCCTTATGGAAAGGTACCATATTTATTATTCCCCTTTTGAGAGGGGGACGGTGAGACACAGAGAGCTAAGGTGACTTGCTGACGGCCACACAGTTCAGAACTAACACTGGAACCCCAGGAACTGGCTGCAGGGCAGGGCTCGTGATCGTGACGCAACCCCCGTAAGAGGCCTCCCACTGCTACCGGGGTAGGGTAAGAGCTACTTACCATTTCGTCATCCCTCTCTTCTCCATCCTCCTTGAGGTCGGCTCTCACAGATAATTTTGGTTTTTTCTTCCGACTACACTTGGGATCTTCCTCCTCGTTGTCTTCCCCGGTGTCCCTTTCTTCCTTCTGATCTCTGTTGTGTTTATAAACCCAAAACAGTGACAGCAGACAATACCTATCAAACATCTACATGTTGATCATCAGTGCAAAAATCGTTTTCAAATAAGTGCCCTCCCCAAAGGAAAAATGCTTAATCTTCACAGGAGAAATCCACAGGCATTAGAATATCACCTAAAGCAATGCTTTAAAACCACTATTATGTATAACATCTGTCAGGGTAGAAAGTGGACCAAGAATCTAATTTATTAATTAGATTAATTTCACACGTGGGCCGAGCATCCGTGTGAAATAGTTTATAAAAGAGTTTATAATTACTGGTTTACCATATCTGCCATCCATACCAATAAAAGAATCAATTATTAGAGATATTTGTTTTCAGGGTCATTTAAAGCAAGGATCTAGCAGTTGTCAAGAATGACAAATCAACCTAAAAGGCTAAGTGTGCCTTTGTAAAACATCAGTTGGCCAACAGAAACGGAAAATCCCCAAACCTGCACCTGATTAAAATATGTGGGAAACTCCACTAAAATATAAATGTCTAGTAATTTCTGTCAAATACAGATTATATGTCAGAAAAACACCTTCTGGGTGATAAGCTAAACTTTTTCAGACCACTCCCAAAGGTCATATACGATGGCCAGTCATAGTGCATGGCCCTGTGTCCCAATCCTGACTCTGCACCTGAGACCATCAGTAACACAACTCACTACACTATCCATGAGGGCCATTTTCATTCCGTTAATTACTAGTCAATCAGTGGGAGCCTTATTCCATTATGTGGAGTTTTAGATAAGTTATGTGAGAATCCCTAAAATATAAATAAAACTGCATTTCCATAAATCTCAGTATCATCCAAATGTATATGTAACCCCAGAAAAACTGAAATATTCTTAGCTGGGGAGCAATCAGATTAATGCAAAGACAAGGCTGATGACAGAGGAGAGGTTGTATTGCAGGCAGAACGTAGCAGTACAACTCAGACAAGGCATGACAGATGTCACCTGGTCCAATAAAGGGGTCAGGGTCCACGTGCCTCTAAAGGAAAAGTGTCAGGGAGAAAGGTGTAAATAGGTGTCAGATGTCAGAGAACACAAGCCCTCACAAGCACCACGACCTTGGACTCTAAAACCCATTTTATCAATGGAATGGGGCAAAAACCTACTTGTCTTTGATATGGCGAGCACAGTTCTGGCTGCAATAGTTTCCTCCAGAAAGACACTCATCTACATTGCCGTACTGACAACAGTTCTCACAGAATTGAAGCCCTTCTACTTTCAGTGGATCCTTCAACCTAAAAGGCATCCCAGTCTTCTCTGAAAAGACTAGAAGGTGGAGAAAAAAAAATTTAAACCATGACACAACATATCCCACAACACAATCAAACTTTTTCTTCTAATAATTTTGTTAGCAATACGATAAAAGAATAGTGTTTGTTGAATGAATGATTGATCGATACATAGTTTAGCAAGGAGAGGGAGATGAGCTTGCGAGAAATCATTCAAAACATTTCTGCAGAAAGGATAAACCAAAGTTGGTCCAAGGTGTTTTCTATAGACTTCAAAGTAAAATGAAGTCACTGAATTCTGAAGATGCCACCATCGACCTAGAAAATCTTATTCTCTATTTGTCTCTTTGAGAAAAACCTACAAAGAGCCACTGTGTTATTTCACATTTATAACCTTTTGATGAGTGATTCTGTTTTACTAAATTGGTTAAATCAGTACCTCTTTATTTGACTTTTAACATAGCAGGTCTCCTGAATCATATTTATCCAAATTGTGTAAGAATTTATGTTTCCTTTCACCTGCATAGTTTAGTCTAATCATTCATTCAGCAAACATTTTTTTAGGCACCAATTTATGCTAGACACTGATCATGGCAGCAGAGACCTTGCCCAAGAGAGCTCACAGTCTAGAAGAGAAGACAGGCAAGAAAACCAGTATTTATAATAAAATGTGAGACATGCAATAATAGAAGCATGAGCAAGTTCCAGAAGTAGTATAGAAACAGTAGTGATTCATTCAGCCTGGGGTGAGGTCAGGGAAGAATTTTCTGATAAAAAGCTTCAATGGGGTTTTGAAGGCTCAAGAGGAATTTACCAACTGGACAGAAAGAGAAACGGCATTCGAGCCAGAAAAAACAGCACGAGCAAAGGCAAGAAAGCGTGAAACCACACGATGTGTTGGGAAAATTATACTTAATTCTGTGCTGCTGGCACTGCCAGAACACAACATACAAAGAAGGAAACAGAGCCTGAGGGAGAGGAGCAAGCAGGTGGGTGCAGGTCACCCAGATCTTTGTATGTTCTTCTGAAGAGGCAATGAGAAATCAATGAAGGGTCGAGGAAGCCATCTACACAAGGTTTTCTGACTTTAGGGAGCAGGATAATTTGAAAGGAGGTGAAATTAGAAGCATAGTGACTTCTGCAGTAGCTCAGGTGAGGATTGACAAGGGCCTAAATTAAGGCAGTGGCAGCGATGACAGGCAGAAAAGGCCAGATCTGAGACATATTTAGGAAATTAAAATCAAGATTAAGTGAAAAGGACGTGGGGATGGGAAGAACAAATTCAGGATGACTCCTGTATTTCTTGCTTGTCCACTGGGTAGACGGTGCCACCGTCAACTGAAATACGGGTTAGGGAAGAAAGAGAAGGTTTGAGGGGAGGGGAGAAAGAAATAGAAAATGAATTGCATTTCAGACATGTGGAGTTTGAGGTACCTGTGGGACATCCAGGTGGAGATGTCCAGTAGGCAGGTGGAAATACGGGCCTGGAGCTCGGGGGAGAGGTCGGGGCTGGAGATATAGATTTAGGAGTCATCAGCATATAGGTGTTAGTTACAACCATTGGAGTAGATGAGAAAAAAAGTGGCAGGCTTTTGGCTAAATCACCTATGGATTTACTTGATAAATTTCCAACTAACCTTACGCTATTATAGATCTGGCATTAGGAAAGAAGATAGTTACGAGCTATTTTAAAAATTAAAAGCTGGCTCCTGTCTGTCTCATTACAGAAATTTACCTAAGAACATAGGATGCAAAAATCACCCAGGACCTCCAAAGTTCCAGCCTACTATAAAACCTTAGATATTCTTATTTCGAATCCTTCCAGAGAAGAAAGAAAATGCAGACAGCCCTTTCTTACCTTCTTGAGCAGTGGGTACCATCCAGGTGGTGGTAGCAGTCGCTTTCCTAACATTCTCCATCTCACTCTCATCTGTAATGACTTCCAGGGCTCCAAATTCATTTACCCGAAACTAGCAGAAAAGAGGCAAAATTTACAAAAGTGCTCAGGACAGCAAAGATTTAATGGCTGATACATAGAGTCTGTAAGCAAATTAATTGTATGTTAACAGTTAATTTAAACAACCACTCCTTGATAAGCCTTCTACCGACACTAAGACCTTTGCATTTTACTAATTTTGGGATTCAGGGAAGGGGGGCAGGACAAAGCAGCAGGACACACACAGCCCTGCCCTGTCCTATAGACGTGCCATCTTGCCTGGAGGACCTGTCATTTCAAACACACTTCATTTTTTAACTAAGATGTGTTTTTCCTTATTTCACACTTTGGCATTAATCAAAGAAAATAAAAGAATAATTACTCTTTCCCAGGAACCGATCTGCCTCACCCAAACTCGCAAAGAAGGAATATCCCCATCCAAGAAATAATGACCCGTCCCTCCTCCTCTTTCTGTTCCAAGACGTGAGCCCTGAAGGCTGAAGGACGCGCCATGGAACCATCTATGCTTCTTCTACAGTGCTACATTTCTCCGTTCTTTTACTGCTCTCTAGAATTCTCCATTATCTTAACCCACGGTCCTCAAACTTTTTAAACAGGGGGCCAGTTCACTGTCCCTCAGACCGTTCGAGGGCCGGACTATGGGTCCCAGGATGAGTTGGCTGCTAAGCAGGACAGGAAGCTGCAGCAAAAACACCCAGCAGGCCAGATAAATGTCCTAGGCGGGCTGCATGTGGCCCATGGGCTGCAGTTTGAGGATGCCTGTTTAACCTCTAGCCCACTCAAACCTCAGGACATTTCCGGGAGAGCTAAACAAGTCTACTAGATATAGGCCAATTTTATCACTAAAGATTGAGGGCCTTTTGATTCCATGGATGTTCCCATTCTAAATACTGAAAATTTCCTCTCACCTCTTGGTAAACTTCAAAGTATGTTTCTACAACAACCTGGTTGTACTGTGTTGAAGGCGTACCCATTATTTATGTGTGGGGACCCTGTTCTCTCTGAGGAAGTGAGGCTTAATCTCATATTCATGCATTTTAGAAAGTTTTCCAAATCCCTTCTGTTTTTCTTTAAAACAGAAAGACATTGGGGATCCACTAATTTTAACAGGTGGTAAAGTCCTGTTACCTCAACATTCAAAACGATAATAAGTTATAACTTCTTACATCTTTCACAGAAATTATGAGCATGCAAATCTGTAGTATTTAAGCAAGACCCTCCATTTGCCTATTGAATAATTATTCCTTCCACCAGGTAAAAACAGCACCTTAAGCAAATTTCTACACAGAGTCCACAATTATTAAATGAGAACTGAATGAGGAGAAACAGTTAAGGAATGTGAGAATATTTTCTCCTATGGTATTTTCCGGATACGAGTCCCCAGGGTAATATGTAAGTACTATATCAAGTGTATCCAACTAAAATGTCAGTGTAGAAAGTGCGAATATGTTAATTAGTAGGAAAACAGCTAAAAATAACTTTACTTTTTTGAAAAACAAAACATTAAACTAAAAAAAAGTTTTTTTTAATGACCCCTCTGAACACAGAATATTTCAAAATAAGGCTGACAGTACCATCTACTGGGCAGGAGTTAAAAAAACAAGCTATTGTGATAATTATTAATTAATGATATTAAAGAACATGACAGAAAATCACCTCTGAGTTAGAATTTTAAAAATAGGTACAAGCCTGACACTTTTTCTCAGGTAAGTAATTTCACTTTTAATACATGTCGCTGATGTTAATTTATGCTTATTCGATAAATACAAAATGTGAGGGAGAGCATCAGACATTCACATTAAAAAGAAAGACTCCAGTGCTTGGCTTAAGTTTCCAAATTGCCCTGAAACTGCAAACCACCCAGCAGTTTAAACACTGGGAAAGAGACCACCATGCAGTGCAATCTCCAAGAGAAAATTCACAACTATGGCACCCAGAAACTTTAGGCTCAGATATCATCAAAATGAAAAGGTAATATTCCCACAATGCACATTTAATCCTAGTCAGCTTTCCCTTCACCTACAAGAATAACTATTGCCAGTAACCGTCCTATAGTCTAACGACAAAGTAAAGCTGCAAAGTCACTTCGCCAGAATCCATGGATGGATTTCGAGCATTTGTGAATCCCATAAACGATATGTGAAATTACGGTATGTGCACATACATGTTTTACTGGAGACAGAATTCATAGATTTCATCATATCCTCAAATGCAAACAAGCCTGAAAAAATTGAGAACAACTGCTCTAATCAAAGTTGCTTATCTCAAAAATTAAAAACCTCAAAGTGTTTTCAAAGTATTCTATCATATGCAAAAAAATACAGGGATCAAATATGTCTCTGGATTTCAACGTGGATTTACTTGTCTTCCTCAGTATTACTATTATAGAAAATCTCAGACAGTTAATATCACTGATGTCCCATAAACAGAATTCCAGAAAGACTGATACACTTCCTAACTCTTCTTTCTCCCAATGAAATGCCCAGGTTTTGAAATGGGGAAAGCCTTCATGAATGCCTTTGGAATGATAAAAAGTTCACCTCTACTTTTTTTCAACTATTAGTTCTTTTAACCTAGAGAGCTAAAAACAGTGTAAAACATTTGTCTAGTAGCTCCATCCTACAATCAAGAATATCAACATTATAAACTTTACATAAGGAATTTATTAAGGAAACCAACCCATCAGCGGACAGAGTAAGTTTTTCCTCATGTGAATATCCAGATTAATCAAAAAGCAATTATGCCTGAAGTATTTAAAGGGCTGTAAATGTTTTGTTTGGCTTGACACACCTTTATGATTCTCTTCTTAATTTTGGCTTGGAATTTTGCCTATTTTTACCTGTCTTTAATAACAGATCATCAAAAGACACTGCTGACGTTCTTATTTTGTTTTATTACTTTCAATGCTGAAATTGGAATTCTACTTACCAGCGTGTTTTAAGTTAGGGCAAAAATATTTGGTAACTGAACTATTGCGAACATTAATCTAGGCAAGGCCAAACCATGTATTAAGAGTGCAGTGAATTTCACAGGTGGGTTTCTGCCTGGCTGCGGAATCTTGGTGGTGGCTAAGTGGTGACTTTTCTTACTAGATAAAATGCTATACCCTCAGGAGTACAGCTGCACTTTACTGAGGGACTGTGAAAGACATTACGACCCAGAGAAATAATTCTCTAAGGACAAAGTTCAGGTGCAGAAACCAGTCAGGCACAGGGTACCTTCCCAGGCACCTTTCCCCAGCCACTTGGTCCCCTGACTATTCTTAGAGCTGGCCATGAGACATTAATCTATAAAAATAATCTGTTTTAAAAGAACAAATTAAATAATGGCAAAATTTGCTTAGGCAAAAATGTCTTATTAACGACCATCATATTTTTCAAGGCTGTCGGGGGACACTGGCTGTCCTCCCTAGATACACTCTACCTTCTTCAGCTGTGCCCTCCTCTGATGTCCTTCTCTTTCCTTCCCCAGTCTCCACCCCTCAAAGGGTGAAGTGTGAGGGTGATTTTTTTTCTTTTTGCAGTTTTTGGCCAGGGCTGGGTTTGAACCCGCCTCCTCCAGCATTATGGGGCTGGCGCCCTACTCCTTTGAGCCAGAGGCACCGCCGGGTGTGTTGATTTTTTTGTTTGTTTTGTTTTTGGCTGGGGCTGGGTCTGAACCTGCCACCTCCAGCACATGGGGCTGGCACCCTACTCCTTTAAGCCACAGGTGCCACCCTGGTGTGTTGATTTTTAATTCCCGGTTTCTTGTTTTATTTTTTGTTGGAGAATTTTTGGTGTATGTGTATATATGTCTGCATGTCGGTATATATTATACAGTAAAGAGCAAATTGGAAAACAGTTCTATTTATCCTTCTCCCTTCCCCAGTAGAAATAAAACAAATCTTTACCAAAAAAAAAGTATACACAGATACTCCCACCTGAAGGGAGGCATCTGATGCTTTAAGAAATGTTTACCTCCTCTAATTCCTGTAACATTTTCCTTGCACTTTTGATATGAAAATGCTTTCTCTCCTTCAGCATTATAGCAGCAGTAAGAAAATCAATTTTAATATCAGGAAAGCCAGGTTTTGAGACCCAGTTCTGCCAGCAAGTGACTTAAGCAAATGAATTAACCTCTCTAGGCCTCCGTTTTCCCATCTGTAAACCCACAAGGGAGACATAAAAAGGATTAACGAAAAGGACCCAGGTAGAAAGTTGCTTTCAGAGTAAGTCCTCTGTTCTTACCCAGAGAAGGTATCTGTGCTCTGTTTTCTATAAACTTTAGTTGCCCCACTATGGAAAAAGAAAAGGGAACTCTAGCAATGGGAAAAAGGAAATGTGGCCCCAGGTGGGCTGGGTAGAAAGCGAGAGCAACACTGAGGAGTGAAAGGAAATCTGGCCGGAGAGACAAGCAGGGGCCGGACCACACGAACACCCGAGGCAAAGACAGGGGGCCTGAACCACGCTAGGCAAGACTTTGGCAACTGCTAAAAAATTTTAGGCAGAAGAGGGACATAACTTGATTGGACAGTCATCATAATGCTTTTACGGAGGAAAGTTCCGACAAAAGGGCACAAGTTAAAGCATATAAAAACCTGTCCCCCCATGAGAAAGCGGCCTCTCTGGACCGGTGGACTGTATGAGCTGAATCAACTTGGGCTGGCTGTCTTAGGCAACCATGCTGTTGAGCAATAAACCGCATGCCTATGCCCATTAGAGCACAGAAGCTCGGAGTGTGAACAGGCAAGGCACGACGGGCCAGAGTAAATTTCGTGATTTAGTCTAAGTTCTTTCCAATATCTTAATTTTGTGAAAAATCAATCCCTCAATCAACTCACCAACTCAGATTTCAAATAAGGAGCAAGTGAATCCTCAGTAATGTAATCAACTAGCTAGTCTCTGAATCTCCTCAGATAAAAAGGGTTATAAAGTAGGATTTTTTTTTTTTTTTTTTGAGACAGGGTTTCACACTGTTGCCCTGGGTAGAGTGCCTTGGTGACATCATAGCTCACAGCAACTTCAAACGCTTGAGTTCAAGTAATCATCATGCCTCAGCTTCCCAAGTAGTTGGGACTACAGGCACCCACCACAAAACCTAGATTATTTTTCTATCTTTAGTAGAGACAGGGTCTCACTCTTGGTCAGGCTGGTGTCAAACTACTGAGCTCAGGCAATCCACCCACCTTGGCCTCCCCAGAGTGCGAGGCTTACAGGTGTGAGCCACCGTGCCCAGCCAAGTAGAAAATAGTTTTTAATTTGTTTTTTTAAGTTCGGTATCACAGGAAGTTATGATAACACCATTGCATTCAAGCTTGAGCAACAGAGTAAGACCCTGTCTCAGAAAAAAAAAAAATATCAAACTGTCTATAATACGTGTAATGAATTGCAGACATGGCAATTACCTGGGTAATATTAGATGAGTCTGACGGTCATGTTAAATAACCCAGATTAGAATACCCACGAAATGGCCTAATTATCTGTATACCCTAAGAAAAGTTAACATTTCTAAAATTCACAGTTTAGAAAGGCTTAACACAATCCAGATTCCTTAGGGACGGAACTTTATTGTTAAAAGCTAACTGAACAAAAGGTACCAATTTCATCATCCACGAGATGTTTAAACAAAGCTACTGAAAAGAAAAAGGACAAAAGTGCACAAGAAAAAGAAAGGAAAAATGTGACTTAAAAGGCAGCTTCCATTATATACCATAAAATAAGAAAAGATACAACTTGTTAAATGTTTTATGTAATATTTTCCATCCTCATAACCACCTTGTAACATTGATTGTAACATCCCCATTTTATAGATGAGGATTCCCCAAATTAGGGAATTTAAACAATCTGACAAAGCTCAGGTAGCTATTACGTAGTTGAAAATATCAGAGTGTTAGAAATAGCTGTTCTTTCTCAAAAATTTTCTGCATCCTATCTCCATCATACCTTATCCAGATGAACATTTGGAAAATGCCAGAGCAGGTAAAACCCCTGCTGACTACAGAGGAAACTTGGCCCAAAGAAATTGACTTGTTCAAGGTAATACAGAACTAAAACTGAAAACCCAATCGCCTCTCCAGATGCCACTACAATAAATGTCACTGCAGTATTTCTGTTGTATTAAGTTCAGAGATGTCAGCAGATTATATGTAATTTAACCTAACCCAACTAAAATCTAAGTACTTTTCCAGCAACAGGCAGATCATTCAAATCTCACCACCAAGGATGAGCTAAGGCAGGCCCCGCTAAGATACTTGCCAAGTAGTCATTAAAAAGAATTAGATTCTAAAAAGTCTGGATTAGGGGGCAGGAATTTCTGTTTAAGATAGCCCAGAATACCAATCATCAGAGAGGTGAGCCAAGTGACAGCCTACTGGGGAGATGGGAAGTGCAAATACCTGAATGACCAAGTGCAAACACAAAGTCTAAAGGGCCACAGACAGGTTCAAGGTCTCCCAGATAGGATCAGAGCAAAGGCAAATTAGAAATGAGGAGGGGGGGGCAGGGTTCGCCTCCCAGGTGGGTGCTCACACAACCACGTTTCATGGCACAGCAGAGGTGGTCCTGGAGGAGGTGGAGGGGCACTGGAAGCAAGGGATAGTGAGCATATCAGAGCAGCAGGCTGAACCTCACTCTCTGAAGAGCTCCCAACTAGACTACAGCACCCTGGTTTACAGGAAGGATCTGCTTCTAAAGATCCATATTCACAGTATAAATAACTTAAAGGTAGCAAATAGTTTTGTTTATTCAATAGGTTAATGTTATCCAGTTTTTAAACGAGGACACCTAGACACAGGGATTGTAGCAATTCACTCAAAGTCATAAATCCCATTACTATAGAACTAAGAAGCCAAGTCTTCCAAGTCTGCCATTTCCACACATATTGCCCATCGTGATAGTCAGAATGGAGATGATCCATCTTGAAGCTACAAATCAATTTCTGCAGAATAAACGCATACGGCAGAAACAGTCCTCACTCCCTAAACCATGAGACAAAGGCTTCTGCCAACCCATCAGCATTGCAAATTGTCTTGGGAGTTTACTGGAGAGGTCTATGGCTCACCTAAAACCTACAGCACTATGTATGATTAATGCTTTTAGTGATTATTTCACATATGCATTCAATTTAAAAATACACACATGCAGAAGTACACAGGTACATTTGTATGCCATAGAGACAGCTTACCTTTAAGTCACTTCCTGGTAATGTGCCGACTCCATCTTTCCAGTCCATAACACTGAATACATCAAACTCTTGGCCACTCGTGCTAGAGGCAGATTCGGTCATGATTTTTTTTTTTTTTTACCTGAAGGAGAAAAGAAGGCACATCACTAAATATTCCACATAGAGATCTATTTGTAATTTAGTGGCTATTACTTCAATTTCCCTTAATTACATAACTTTCTTGATCACAATATCCCATCTCCTTACATCTAAAAGCAGTTGTTTTTAAAGTATCATTAACATTTTTTTCTCGGCATAATACTTGGTAAACTACAGGAGAAAAAATGTTAATAAAAATTTCAAGTTAAAAAGCATCATGGTCAATTCTTGCTATTCATTTTTAAAAAACAGGAATTCATTGATCATAGCATATTTACTTAAAACAAAAAATCATGATACTGTAGGGATAGAATTCCTTATCCTCTAAATCAGTGGTTTTCAACCTTCCTAAAGCCGTGACTCTTTAATACAGTTCCTCCTGTTGTTGTGACCCCCACCCATAAAATTATTTTTGTTGCTACTTTATAACTATAATTTTGCTACTGTTATGAATCATAATGTAAACATTGGATATGCAAGATGTATTTTCATTGTTACAAAGGGGTCGTGTAGGTTGAGAACTGCTGCTCTAATGTTCTTTTTTTCTGTTTTAAGACAGTGAAAAGAGAGTTGAGTATAAAGAGTAGAAGTAATCTAAAATGTTGATTATAAAGAGGTTTTTTTGATAATAAAAAAGAAAAAACTTCAGTCTATTATTGACTGTCATCTACAATAAATTTACCAATTAAGTGTCTATTCTATCAATATAACAAAGGCACAATGTAATTGATTCTTTCAGTACACTGCTTTATGGATCAGTTAAAATATCTAGCAATTTGTTGTTTTGGGAAATAAGAAAACAATCTCAAAATGTATAGCAAACATGAATAATAAGCTCTGTTAAGATAATCAATTTGTCCAGCTAAACTGTGATAATGCTTTGAATTTTCCTTTTTTTTTTTTTAATTTCAAAACAAACTGTCTTCCCTAATCACATTTTTGGCCGTGGTATTGACAATGCTGTCTTAAGACTACTGTCTGTGTGATCCTAGATAAAAAGAATATAAATAAGTAATTATAAAAAAGTATCCAAATAAGTAATTATGCTGGTATCACAGACAACCAAAATTTGAATGGAAGAATCAGCATAAATTCATGATGTGTTTTATCTTTAAAAATATGCATACTTTCTAGTGCTGTCCACTGAAGAAATCTAAAAACAAAATCATCCATCAACGGTAGTAAGCCTTGTACTCAGACTATAGTATCTAAATACTGTTTTGCCCAACACTTCTCAGAGAAAGAGCAGATTTCTGCTCACTGTCAGGAAATGTCTGAGATAAAACATCTTGTCAAACAAGAAAGTAAAGGAGCTACAAAGAGAACAGAGGTCACATCCCAAGAACCCAAGAGAAAGAGTGAAGAGGCTCCCGCTGGCCAAAGTTAGGCAAAGCAGTATCCTTACTAGCTGCAACAAACTGAAACACATCAAAAAGGTTACAAATTCATAAAGACACACAAAGTAAAATAATAAACCAAGAACACTTCACTGATCACTTTTTGAAAATACAAGGGAGTCAACTCATCATTTGGAAGAAGAAACAAGGATCTGTCTTGCCTTTCTGTGCAAACTGTATCTCAGGGTAACTAAGTCATTGGTCAGAGAAGTTTCCCTTTAGAAAGAATTTCAGCTAAGAAATGAAGAAGGAATGATAGAATATTACCATTTGCAATCCTTAATAAATTAATGGTTCTAGGCAATGACCATCAGTGGCGAATAAGAATGCAAACCCAGGCCAGGTGTGCTCACACCTATAATCCCAGCACTCTGGGAGGTCGAGGTGGGTGGATCTCCTGAGCTCACAGATTTGAGATCAGCCTAAACAAGAGCAAGACCCCGTCTCTAAAAAATAGCTGGGGGTTATGGTGGATGCCTGTAGTCCTGGCTACTTGGGAGGCTGAGATAAGAGAATTGCTTGAGCCCAGGAGTTTGAGGTTGCTTTGAGCTGTGACGTCACAGCAGTCTACCGAAGGTGACAAAGTGAGACACTATCTCATAAGAAAAGAAAAAAAAAAGAATGCAAATCCAACACCACTTTATGAAGTAGTCTTGCCAGGAAAAAACAAAATCAAACTTAATCTGTTTATAGTCTGTTTATAGGAAATACCAGAGAAAGGGAGCACGTTAAATTACACCACAAAGTATAAGAATCAAAATCCACACTAGCTGAAACTCTTAAGCATCTTTCTCCAAGTGGGCATTTCTCGGGGGCTCCTGAGACCCTGCAAAAAGTCCATGCAGTCAACCACTTTCATAAAATGCTAACACACTATTGGCCTTCTTCACTGTGTTGACATTTGCACTGACGGTGCAAAAGCAAGAGTGGATGAAGCTGCTGGAAGCAGCATCCACCACACTAGCGGTCATTTAATCTGTGTGCAATGACTGACTTTAGGTATCAAAGTCACTGCATTCTTTACCACCATGCACTTGCAAACAAATGGCCGTCTCACTAAAAACCATCGCTGAAGAAGTAAAAATAATAAATGTATTAATGTTGATATTTGAGGATGTAGCTTTTTAACATTCTGTGGGATGAAATGGAAGGTACTTTGGCACGCCAAAATACCACGGAAAAGCACTTGGGAACTGTTTGAGATACGAGCTAAACAAGTTGCTTTTTAAGTGGAATGCCATTTTTATGTTATAGACTGTGTTTATTCAGGTTTGGATATTGGGAAAATATTTTGTTAAAGATAAATTAAGTGAGCTTGTCATATCACGGAAAACACTGGCGGTGTTTGCTGCTAATGATTAAATTTGAACCTTCGAGGAAAAAAAAATCAGCATTTTGGAAAATTTGTAATCATCACTGTAAGCTTGACAGCATCCCAACAGCTAAAGACTTTTCTAAGAAGATAGATGGGTGGTGATAATAATGAATGTGATTTTTAAATATTTCATAAGGAAATATGTCAACATTTGGAAGAACTGCATAGTTCAATGAAGCAATGTTTTCCAAAATGACCGATGCATGATGGTACAAAATTACACGTGGTAAAGAATCCATTCAAAGTGCAAGATAAAGCAATGGATTTTAATGTAACAGAGTATGAGAAGCTCATTGATAGGGTTTCAGACTGCACACTGCAACTAACCTTTAAGAAACTACTGCCTACCAAGTTTTCATGTGGTATTAAAGAAAGACGGCCGCTATTAAATGAAAAGACTATTAAAATATTCCTCCCTTTTCCAAGCCATATCTTCATGAAGCCAGGTTTTCTTCATACATTTCTACCAAAAAAATCTCACGCAACAAAATGCAGAAGCAGACGTAAGAATCCAGCTACCTGCTACCAAGTCAGACTTTAAAAAGATTTGCAAAGATGCAAAACAACACCATTTCTCTCTTCTCTTAAAGTTCTCAGAAACTATAATTACGCTTTATAAAAATTAAGTTTGCATATATTATATTATCAGGTCCTGGGCTTACTATTATAATTTTTTTAAAAATAGTTAAAATTATACATTTGTAACAAAGTAAATAATGATAGAGGTACCCAGCCAATCAACACCTCTTTAGGCTTTCAATCACTTTTAGAATGAAAAGAAGACTTGAGACAAAAAAGTCCAACAGCTGATGTTGTACAGGATAAAAACTTGTTTTCTTTCACAAAACAAAGAAATAAAAAAAAAAAACAGATGAAAGAGGAAATGTGAAATTTAGATTAGAAGAGATTTAAAAGATATTAACCAATCACAAGGCCACAATTCAGATCTTGTCTGGACCCTGATTTAAACTATTTTTTTAAAAAGATTATTAGACAAGAAGGGAAGTATGAACATCAACTGGTTGGTTGTTATTGGAGAAATACTATTGCTTTTTCTTTTTTTGAGAAATGACAACAGTATGTACTTCTTTGAAGTTTTTTTATAGTGCAATTTCCTTACATACATATAGTTGACCCTTGAAGACATGGGTTTGAACTGTGTGAGTCTACTTACACATGAATTTTTCTTCAACCAAACATAGATCAAAAACACAGTATACATGGGATCCAGAGGAGGACCGGTGGGACTTAGATACAAGCACATTTTGGAATGTGAGGTGCTGCAGAAAACAATCTCCCAAGAATACTGAGAGAAGACTCTAATACCATTTATTGATACTCATTTACAAATAGTAAACAGAAAAACACTTCTGTTTCTTTAAATTATAGCTATCTTTCGTTAGAATGTACTAGATGCTTCAATATTCTTTCTTCCCCTAACGTAAAGAAAATGTCAAATAGTACACATGTATATTTTAAGCCAATTTCTAATCATTTCAAAACTCATACAGTCTGAACTTGACCTCAAACGCGCAGGCAACAAAAGCAAAAACAGGTAAATGAGATTATATCACACTACAAAGTTTCCACACAGCAAATGAAAATTATCAATCCAGTAGACAGAAAACCTACAAAGTGAGAGAAAATATTTGCAAAGTACCCAACAAGAGTTTAATGTCCAGAATATATAAGAAATTCAAACAACTCAATGGCAAAAACCCAAAAACTGCTTTAAAATGGGTAAATAATCTAAACAGCCATTTCTCAAAAGAGATACAAATGATACATAAAAAAAAAAAAACTATCACTAATTATCAGAGAACTGCAAATTGAAACCACAGTGTGTTTTCATCTTACCCAAATTAAAATGGCTACTTTAAAAAGACACAAATGCCAGTGAGGACGCACAGAAAGGGGAATGCTGATGGGATTTTAAATTACTTTAGCAATTACGAAAAATAGTACAGAAGTGCCCCCCAAAAAACTAAAAAGAGAAATAGCACACAAGTTCCAGCAGGCCCACTCCTGGGTATAATTCCAAAAGAAAAAAAATCAGCATGTTGGGCTTGGTGTCGGCCACATGCACCAAGGCTGGCAGGTTCAAAACCAGCCAGGGCCTGCTAAACAACCACAACTGCAACAAAAAATAGCTGGGCATTGTGGCAGGCACCTGTAGTCCCAGCTACTGGGAGGCTGAGGCAAGAGATTCGCTTA